GATAAATTAGAAAATACAGGGTTTTTTCTATTTCCAACAGTACTTTAGTTGCTCACTTGACGCTGCAATCAGATTGTGATCGTTATTACACCGGATAACCCAAGCTACCCGTGAGGCATAAGAAGGTTAATAGTCACATGACTTATCTCACCGGGTACCCATTTTCTGCTTGGTGAACACAGGCCATTTTGAACAAACTCACTTACCTAAGGCGACGCCACATGTATCACATGTGCTTCGTTGTAGGTCAGGATCGAAGTCCTAAAAACTCTCAGGAGTCAAACACGGTCACCCATCCAAGGACTCCCCGGGCTCGACGTTGCTTAACTTCAACTGACCTGAGCTCACACATATTACCTATATTACTCTTGAAACCTGGGGCTCGAATACGCTTCATGGGATTTCAGGAGGTGTGTTAGACTCCCTCTTCTTCGGCGACAAACAGTGTGAAATTAATTGCTAAAAATATTTATATACTTTGATTCTGGAATGGTGAAACTACTGGAGGTCACAAAATCTGCAACAAGACCACAACGGGGCCTCACTGTTAAGGCAACGGGTTCACCCAGTGTCATGTATTCCAGAAATAATAGTACTGATGACGACGACGACGACGACGACGACGATGGTGATGATGATGACGACGACGACGACGATGGTGATGATGGTGATGATGATGATGATGATGATGACTGCATTCGTATTTAAATCCTCTGAACAGTTAGTATCTGTTCAAATCGCTGCATTATATGCACACAAGCAATGATAGAACCAGAAGCAATGGAAATCTTGGAGTGGTATTTTGTGTGAAGAGGAAGGTCCTCAAATGTTTGGTTGGTTTGTTGTTTAACGCCGCACTCAGCAATATTCCAGCTATATGACGGCGATTTGTGAAATATCGAGTCTGGACCGGACAGTCCAGTGATCAACAACTTGTGCATCGATCTACGCAATTGGGATACGATGACAGTCAGTGAGCCTGACCACCCGATCCCGTTAGTTGCCTCTTACGACAAGCATGGGTTACTGAAGGTCAGTTCTACAGCATGGGCATCGATCTACGCAACTGGGATAAGATGACATGTGTCAACCAAGTCAGCGAGCCTGACCACCCGATCCCGTTAGTCGCCTCTTACGACAAGCATGGGTAGCTGAAGGTCAACTCTACAGCATGGGCACCGATCTACGCAACTGGGATAAGATGACACGTGTCAACCAAGTCAGCGGGCCTGATCACCCGATCCCGTTAATTGCCTCTAACGTCGACAAGCATAGAACAGAGTGAGTGAATATGTCTTTACGTCTCTTTGAAAAATATAAAGTTATCACGTTCTGACAAACGAAGAACAATATTCAGGACGATTCCTAGATGCTTTGCTGTAAATGGTAACATAGATGTGGTATTGTTTTATGAAGGCAGCAATGAGTTTCACGAGTTTCTTCAAATACTAGTGGTGAAAAGATCCAAATAGCTTAGGACAGGGAGGTCCTCAGAACTTTAACGGAATAAACGGCGACCCAATGATTTTAGGTGACGTTGCAGTGTTCTCATGGGATCAAGATAAGCAGATACCAGTTGCTGTACCTACCCCGGAAAATACATCAGCCATAAAACCTAAGAGGGGTAGGTGCGTGAAAGAATCTTGAATTATGTTCCTGCTCGCACAGGAAGCCAGTACAAGGATTCCAGAGCCTCCTGTTGGCAACACAGTTACACTGACGATTCTGGCATTTTCTGTCCCTCTTGGAGTGTGTAGAGATTGGTACCTGGTAAGCCGTACGGCGTTCTATTGCAGTAGTCCCGACTTGGCTCACTAAAGGCGGACCGCCTCCGTGGTGTAGTGGTTAGAGCGTCCGCCCGGAGAGCGGAAGGTCGCGGGTTCGATCCCCGACCGCGTCATACCAAAAGACGTTAAAATATGGTCCCTGCCTTGCGTTCGGCATTAATGGGTACAACAAGGACTGGTCGGCTCGGAGTCAGTATAATGTGTCTGAGTGGGGCATTCATGCTTCACTGCGGCATGGTATCTCAGTGGGCTAGCACTATAAAACCAGCTTCAGTCTGGGCTAGAACAAGCAGCCGCACATACACATACACACGCATGCACGTCGTCATATGAGCGAAATATTCTCAAGCACGACGTTAAACACAATTTCACCTCACCTCACCTCACCTCACTAAAGGCACGTTCGCACAGTGCAACTTGTCGTAAGTCGTAACGACTTGGGGGTTTGTGTGCTTTTTAAAACCCATTCATCTAGCATCTCACGAGATATTATATAAAATATATTAATATACTTCCCATAAAAATATTTAGACTCCCTTAAAGTGAGTGAGTGAGTGAGAATGGTTTTACACCGCTTTTACCAATATTCCAGCAACATCACGACGGGGGACACCAGAAATGGGCTTTACACATAGTACCCATGTGGGGCATCGAACCCGGGTCTACGGCATGACGAGCAAACTCTTTAACCACTAGGCTACCCCACCACCCAGACCTCCTTAAAACACTCACTCTATGTAATGTACATATATATGGTTACATCGAGGATTGATTTTTCCATTAACTTGGGGGAACCAACTGCAAACCTTATGCAGATGAATTGCACGAGGATCATTCATCAAATTGCTGAAAAACGTGCAAATATGTGAACAGCTGCGTTTTGGAGTAAAGTTTTGTTAAGAAATGGCCAATTTTCACTGATTTTTATCATTTACTGAACTCATGACAATTATCTTTTCAACGTTACGACCTTGTTTTACAATACATCAGTTCATGTGTAAACAGTACCTTTTAACAGTATGGAATATTTTCAAAATTTAGTTTAGAACAGTTACCTGAAGAGATATTATATAAAATATATCATTATATTATATATTTTTTCTTGTTCTATCGCAGTCACTATGGAACAAGAAAAGAAAGACTAAAACGATGTGGGATTCTCAGTTCAAACATCGTCAGTTTTGTTTCTGGTAAGATCAGATTTGTTTTGTCGTTCCGCTCTCCGGGCGGACGCTCTAACCACTACACCACGGAGGCACCGTAAGAACGCACATTAAAGATGTAACAAGTACAAGTGGGTTTCAAAGAAGCAAACGGCGAACGTCCCATGTTTCGGAGTAAGGATTATGTTTATAGAACACTCGATGGCATGTAAGGAATAATTTAAAATACGTTTTGGCTTTATGGTTACCACATGTCCGTTGGAGTACGAAACTGACCAGAAAAGCACGAAACTGAAATTATTAGCGTGATGGTTTCTCGAACTGAACAAGCTCTGCCTTCAAGCAGCAGTTTAAAAGATATTCATTCGACCGCAGCCTAATTTCTTTGATTATTTCCTGCTTAGCACCGATGGATCACAGCACAGCGAATCACACGTTTCCCGCAAATGTACGGATTGGAGGTGACTCTAGTGTGATTGCATGTGCGCTTCGATCAATAATTCGGCGCTTTCAACAGTATGGCTCAAATGCTGAAGACCCGGGTCCGATTCTTTAAATCAGTACAATATGTACCCAATATTGGTCTACCCCGTTGTGGTATCCCTGGGTAACTGAAGTCAGCACCCAATCACTTCCTTAAATCTTTGAGCAATATGAGGATCTGGTTAATCATGCACCAGATTAGCATGGTGAAGCCGAGACTGGAACGTGAAGCAGCGAATCCTGACAACTGCATGTAGATACCTGGAACCACCCTTGAACCACCCTCCAACAATAGTTTCGCCTTGATACTGATTCGAAAGGACGAGTTTTTAACGAGTCAAAAAAGTGTATTGGAACATGTGATGAAAGTCAGGTCAGACTCAAACCGCTAAAAAAGTGAGTGAGTTTAGTTTAGTTTTACTCCACTTATAGCGATATTCTAGCAATATCATGGCGGGGGACACCAGAAATGGGCGTGTTTAAAAGATGCCTTTAACACGAGTAGAGGCTTGAAGGCGTTTTCATAGACTAACAACTAGTCTCTGAAATGAACATGTTTTACAGAAAAAAACCAGTTCATAGTAAAAAAAATATAATATAATGAAAAGGAGCCCTGACTTTCTTCATTTCAGAAACTGTTGAAATGTAGACTTACCACAAACATTGTATTCTAGACTTGCATGGGCTTTCTTGGATATATTTGTTTCAGGGTCTGTATGGCAATGGCTTTTACACTGACCGAGGCGTCATTCAGACCCCGAGATGGAACGAGCCTAACCTTACTTGTGTTGGAGATGTAATCTGGAGAGATGGACTGAGGAAAAGTGTGAGCATAAAACCTAATGATGCGTTGATCACTCTATGAATGTGCGCCAGTGCATGAATGTGATGTTCAAAGTTGGGAGTAAGGTTGTTGACGAACGACCCTCGACAGACCAGGGTCACGGCTCTTCACCTAACCTGACCACGTGCATAGGCGGATCCAGAGGGGGGGTGCAGGGGTGCGCACCCCCCTTTTGTCCTGAAAGTTTATTAAATGACCATTGAAACTCGGGTGAAAATGAAGTGTGCACCCTCCCTTTTCTCAATAGTGTGCACCCCCCCTTTCTCAAAAAGCTGTATCCGCCCCTGACGTGGAACGGCAATACGAGCAGGTAACTGTTGTAGGGTCATCAGACGACCCGTTCGCAGTTACGACAATACCAGATGAAAATAAAAAGATTATACCTGCTGGTTATTTGACTGACGTTCGGCATCAAGAGGACACAACAGTAATGCAGTGTGTGAGTGGGGTAACTGGCGACATGGTAACTCATCGGCCTAGCACTAAGAATCCGGGCGGTTCACACTCACTCACTCACTCACTCACTCACTCACACACACACACACACACACACACACACACACACACACATCTGGATCCTATCGTTAAATCCCACCTCACCTCACCTCACCTCACCACCCAACTCACTTGCTCACGGGTTATTAATATGTCAAGCTAGACCGTAGCCACACGTACTGACATGCATACGACGTAACCCGAATGTCTACATTATTAACATTCAGATCATTTCTTATTATTTAGTTATTTATCTGAAGATGGCAAATCAAATCCAACACTACAAAAAGTATCTATAAGAAGGGAGCGCTTGCTCACGTCTGTTGACGACAAGCGATCCTACAGGTGAACTTCGGCGGCTGAATGATAATGCCAGGGTTCCATAGACTCGGGTCAAGAGGTGGGAGAGTGTCGCCCTCTGGTGGCAGAAACACAAAGCGCTGTAACAGGAACGTGACGTACAGGAAGAGCCTCGATCTCGCAAGGGTTTCGCCAGGACATTGACGTCTTCCGGTTCCAAACGGCAGTAGACTGTTCAAGAAGATAAGCAGGTTCATAACATGGTTTCATGTAATGGAAGGTTGTATTTACTGAATAATGCGTAGATCTGCCAACGGACCCAAACTGGACTCCTCATTTTCTTATTAAGTCAATCTTGTTAAAATCAGATTTTGTTTATTCGATACCGCTACGTAAAGACCGCATCTCATCACTTGTCACGCCCATATGGCCTTTCAGAGCGTCGCTTACGAGATCGTGAAAGTCCGGATGTTTTTTTTTATTATTATTTATGTTCTTTGAATACAAAAGTCAAAACATAAGCCGAATAGAACCCAAAATATTATTTTCAAAGCCTTGAGATCATGTTGCTGTGGGGTTTTTTTACAAAAACAAACCCACCCAATCCCCCATTACCTCGACCTCTCACTCCCAAAGAATATCATATGGGTGTCTCCCTACACGGTCTGTACTCACTTCCGCCTGAGGGGGTGTTCCCCGCCCAGGAGGGTCCCGTCATCTCGTAGGAACCTCTCCGGGCGGAACTTCCACGGGTCTCCCCACACAGCCTCGTCGTGGTGAATGTACCACAGGTTAGGAACCACCTGACACAGAACAGAGTGAGTGAGTATGTTTTTTACGCCGCTTTGAACTATATTACAGTCAAATCGCCGGGTGTCTGTTTTGGGTGAAACCTGATAACACATGCATAGTTCTGACTAACGAAGCAGAATAGTCTGGACGAATCTTGGATACTTGTTAACGGTAACATAGATGTGGCACGTTTATGGACGGATCACTGAATACTGATGGCACCAAGAGTCCGAGAATGTGTAATGTGCCCAGTCCCACAGGGAGCACCGCCACTAGTTGCCTGACACCGCACAGCAGTATTCCTAAGGAATCTCTACTAAGGGAGTGGTCGGATAGCCTATTGGCCCGGGTTCGATTCCCCAAATGGGTATGATGTGTGAACCAATTTCTGGTGTCCCCGCCGTGATATTGATGGAATATTGGCAAAAGCGGCGTCACACACTAAACTAACACTCAGCAGTAACAGCCGAGTCCATTGTCCGATTCCGACTATATTATAAGCACTTTTCTGAATCTTTATCAGAAGCATATCCAAGAACATTAATGGTCGACCATGAATCATGTTCAGGACCCATCAGTAGTTATACCATACGTACCATAGCGTTCTTTGGAATGGTGAAACCCCTTACTTCAATGTCCTCTCTACAGCAGTGTGGAACTCCCAGCACCGCATGACTGATGTACCTCAGCAATTCTAGAATTGTTGCTTCGGTGTAAGGAAGACTGGAGCGGTCCTCAATGACAGGGTGACGAGTTCCTATTTTGGCCGCGATCTCGTTATATATCCTTTCCTGAATATGTGGGTAATGCAGAAACGACAGGAACATCCCTACAAGAGCCCCTTTCGAAGTCAGGTATGCTGGAACAGTAGTGGTGATCATATTGTCTATAGCGTTTGTTTTAATAACAGATGTTTACAGAAATGCATAAAAGATTCATCACGTGTGTCTGTAATATTTATGGGAAATATTACCTGGGTCTTAGTTATAGGTTTAACACGGGATACTTTAATATATTTTTCAGATATTAGATATATTTACAAAATATTTATAGTTATTCCCAAGTAGACTGGCTTTTAATTTTATGTAATGGTCCTTTTACTGTTTTAAGAGTGCAGTATGTAATATGCAATATAGAAGATGATAATACGTTCGTGCTAATTTCCGTGATAGATGTTGTTTTAAGTTTTGCGTGAGATGACCTACATCTGACTAGATCGTCTCTCATTTGTCTTACAACTCGTTGCTTTCTTATCGTATCTAACTCGCATCTGCTTGTTAAACACGTACCCCAGGTAGCATGCCATCATAGGCCCGACGACGTCGGGTAGATGAAGATTTGCTCATCGGATCGATATCGGTCCAGCGCTGTTCAACGATGCCGATATTAGCCGACGATGCTATCAGCCGATGTCGGGCCGATGATGGGATGCTACCTTGACCTGGGATAGTAGCCGTGAAGATCCGGGTCAGAACATGGTCTTCAGCAACACATGCTTGTCTCCACCCGTCAAGATCAGGGTTGGAATTGTTCTTTAGCAACACATGCTTGTCGTAAGAGGCTACTAACGGAATCGGGTGGTCAGGCTTGCTGACTTGGTTGACACATGTCATCGTATCCCAAGTGCGTAGATCGATGTTTATGTTGTTGACCACTGGATTGTCTGGTCCAGACTCGATTATTTACAGATCGCAGTCATATAGCTGGAATATTTCTAGGTGCGACATTAAACAACAAACAAATAATCCCAACATCTCACCTGCCGCACTCATGTCGAGCGTGATGGCGGATATCTTCGTCATCCGTGAGTCCCCGAGCACCTGCCTGCTGCTGTTTCCGTCTCTGCTCCTGCAGCAGCACCGACACCACCCCACCCAGGTCGTCCCCGGGGGTGTCTCGCTTCTGAGGGTATACAAATCGGCAGAGTAACATATAACTGTTGTGCATGTATGTTGAGGGACCAGTTATGCGGGAGCTGGGTATTTGAGGCTGCCTTTCTAAAGGATCCATGATTTCGCCTAAATCATAGCGAGTGAGTGAGTTTAGTTTTACGCCGCTCTTATCAATATTCCGTCAATATCACGGCGGGGGACACCAGAAATTGGATTCACACATTGTACCCATGTGGGGGATCGAACCCGAGGCTACGGGACATTGGTGTTTACAAGGCAAGTCAAAACATTGATTACACAACAGTCTCCTTTCCTGCTGACTAGGTTCCGTCCTTTTGCGCAACTTAGTACAATAACCAGTCCAGAATTTTGAGACCAATTAATTTAACTGGATACATAAGTATTAATCAGTATTATTTGATACATCTAAGCACTTTTACATTGCAACACTATGCTCCTTCTATTCCTTGCAAACACGTCGTGCAGCGTGCTCTGTCGTACAGCGTGCTCTGACAAACGGAAATCGTCGAAATCTCAAAAAGAGGCTCTGCAGCTAGAAAAGTTTGGCGGTCTGGTACGGACTTGATATTATATCAATCACATTGTGCGTTACAAAACTACACTCAATAATTGCAAAAAAACACATAACAGGTGTAACCAGTGAGCCAGATGAATTGTGAATCATTTTACGACCTCACCAAACAGGGGCAGTCTGTGACGTCTTAGTTAAGGTCAAGCTGTTATTAAAGTTTAAAATTAAAATTAACTTGTAAATACCATTTCCTTATGGAATTGGAATTCAGTGTAACCATAGTTGTTTGTGGTGTCTCTTTTCACTGTCACACGAGAAAATTCGGATCAGCTGAAAAGTAGGTCATTGTCTGAATAGGTTAATGAGACTCATGTTTCGGTTTGATATGGATTAGATTGGATTGGTTGTTGTTCAACGCCGCATTCAGCAACGTGACAGCTATTTACAAGGTAGAGCTCAGTAGTCGTATAGATGATGATCGAATAAGAGTGCCGACGCAGCATGCTCCCATCCAAAACCCTTTAAATAATTGTTGAAAATATCTGTTTTAAGAATTGAATAGGTAAATATATCATAACAAACTAACACATACCTTTTACCGACAATAGAAGAAAGAGCTCCTCACCTTCCGATCCTTGACAAATACTCGAGCCACGGCATCCCTATACTTGACAGCGTTCTGCCAGATGCGGCCATGTTTGATCGGGAAGTGCCTCAACAGAGGGAACGCTGCGAGCACCGTCTGGACGTCGAAGCCGTTCAGGCGATTACCCCACAAGTTGTAGTTCCTCATGTTATCTATGATGTCACTCTCCCTGTCGGCACTCTCGCCTGTTATCTGTTGTCACAACACTTTCATCAGTTTTCTGCGGATCCTGTACACAACTTGTAAGACTTGCCTACTCCAGTTAAGCCAATATCCACTGAGGATGTAGTTTCCAAAATGTTGCCCATACTTCCGCCTTGGAACTATACCCCTTCTGACTCATTACACACGAGTGAGTATGGCTTTACGATGCTTTATACCACTAGGGTATGTTATGTCCATTGTTCTGGCAGGTTGATTTTCTGTGTATCAACCTTCTATCTGCACGTGCAGAGGTTGATATGTGGATAACAACCTTGGCGGTGCAGGAAACGCACGTGCAACAAGCAATGTACGATTCCATTCGGCGCCCACGTGGTATAAGTAGGTTAGCACCCCACCCACCACTTCACCTCTGCAGGGTGATATGGATTCAACGCACTCGCCTAACGGCTCGAGCGTTGAAATCCATATCACCCTTGAGGAGGGTGCTAACGTATACTTAAGCAATATTACAGCAATATCACGACAGGGGCTACCAGAAACAGGCTTCACACATTGAACTGATGTGGAGAGAGAATCGAACCCGGGTCTTCGGCGTGAAAAGCAAACGCTTTAACCTCTAGGCTACACCGCCGCCCCGAAAACATGGTGAAATAGGGTTTAAAGTGACTTTCAAGAACATTTCACTCAGCTATTGCATGCAATTGCACATGGTTGTTTCTGCTTGTCCGTACTGACGCCGGTGTTATAATGCTAACTTAGAATCCATGCCACAGTTTACCACAGACATCTTACTCAGATAATGTATACGTGTTGTATCCAGGTTACAACATATACGGATACCGATCAGTCTTGGCTTTTCCCCAAATTTCCGAGTACCAGGCATTGTAACATCAACCGTACCATCTTTTAATGACAACAAGGACTTTTAGCAGTATAATGTACCATGAACCCAGTGGGCTAGCACTATAAAACCAGCTTCAGTCTCTTACACACGCATTGAGGCACTATCCACTGCACTCAAGGAGGGTTTTATATATAACTTACCAAGGTGGTTTTATATATAACAGACCTTGGTGCAGTGGATAGTGCCTCAACCCAAAGAGCTAAAGTCCGCCACTGGGGTTGCTAGAAGCGGCGTAAAACCTCATTCACTCATTTACTTTTACACCATGAGTATAATCAGACAGTATGTCCTGAATCACATAACCCATGCTTGATTGGTATGCATGTACACAGACAAATGTTCTCGCATAAATGACAAGGGGTCACAAACCCGAAGGTGTGGTAGCATAACTCGCCAGAATGGGTTACCATGTCTGCTCGTCTACTTGTCTCACTGGCTGAAGGGCGGTGGGTAGGTTCGCTCGTCACGCTAAAACCCAGGTTCAATTCCCGAGTAGGTACAAATTGTGAAGCCCATTTCTGGTGTGCCCCGTCAGGATATTGCTAAAGGCAGGCGGGAGTTAAGGGTCTAGCTGACCAACGGCCAAGGCTTTGTGGATGGTGCCACTGTGGACATACAGACACACCAACCGACACACGAAATTACCCTCGACATGTGAGGTACATCTATATAGATATTAAGATGTCTACACGAAGTACATGATGACGAAGTTAGTGAGTGAATTAAGTTTTACGCTGCTGTTATCACTATTCCAGCAATATCACAGCGGGACACACCAGAAATGGGCTTCACACTTTGTATTCATGTGGGGAATCGAACCCGGATCTTTGTCGTGACGAGCGAAAGCTTTAACCACTAGGCTACCCCACCGCTCCACGAAGATAGTGAGTTGGCTGGGTTCATTGTCGCTAGGAGCAGTAATCCCGAGAGAGCTTAATGTGTCTGCGTCTTGTGGAAGGAAAGCTTCCAGTGATGGAGATCGTAAATGATTTACTCATGAGTTAAACACAGAAACATGATGTGCTGTTAAACCAGGAGCACGCGGTGTTGTTAAACTATAAGTACTGAATAACAGGAAGGGAAATTCTTTCTAGCGATTCTTAGGATACCGGTTTCATCGTCATCACACTTTCAAACTTTTAGAGTGAGTGAGTATGGGTTTACGCCGCTTTTAACAATATTCCAGCAACATGACGGCGGGAAATGGGCTTTACACATTGTACCCATGTGGGGAATCGAACCCGGGCCTTAGGCGCGACGAGCGAACGCCCTAACCATTAGGTTACCCATCGCCCCTCAAACTTTTAGAAACTGTGGAAACTTTTACAAAAGAGACGTAAAAAAGAAATGCAAAATATTTTTCGTTTGTTAAACAAAGACGACATTTACTCACTGAACAAGAATATGTACCATCACCTACCAGGATATGAATGACACGTAAAAGTGACTCCGAAAACACTGTTTCCATGTCAACATTTCCGAAAGACGTCCTGAGATTGTGGCCAACGTTTTGGAGCTCATCTAACGCCAAGGCTTCAAAACTGTGAACCCCGTCCCCGTAAAGTTTCAGGGAGTTGTGGAACATTTTCCTGAAATACACCAACGTGCTGTCGTACGTCACGAACTCTGTGATGTTACTATAGTTGTTGGCCACGTATTTACCGAAGAACGTCGCGGGTCGGTCGTTGGTGACTGCTTTGTAGTCCGCACCGTTCATGACTTCTCGGACCAATTCGGATGTGTTCAAAAACACCATCGTCTTCCCGACGGCGTTCACAGAAAACATATCGCCATACTTCTGGGCCCATTTCTCCGCCGACAAGTGGACCCTCTGAGACTGGAGGGCGCTGATAATCTCTGAGAACACCCTCACACCAGAGGGCCCCGGGGGTAGAGGGCATTTTCGATTGCTCGACCATTTCTGGTAAAGTAGCCAGAGTAATAAGCCTATGACAAGGGTGAGTAGATATACAACCACCAGGTCCATCGCAACCGAGATCGAACTAAATTCAACCTTAGACTTCACACCTGGCCGGGTCACGCTGACGGCGGGAGTCGTTATGAGGCCAAACAGTGAAGCATGACCATGCATCGAAACCTAATTGTATGCAGGTTGTGGTGGTCATTCACAACTCTTATTTCCTTTTCAAATATACACATGGAAAAAAGTAGCGCAACACCCAAAACTTTTCGTAAAAACAATATGTTACCATTAACCATAGCAAAGGAAACTATACAAATTTAACTGGACTTACTATCTGGATAAACTGAGCCTTAAGAACAATCAAATGGCAAATCTAAACGCAAAAAAGAACGAAACACAGTAGTTTATTTCTGATTAGACGTATGAACATTGTCGTATGACGTTAACAATTAAGTGCGGTCATTTTCATGGGGGGTTGTTAGCCTAGTGGTTAAAGCTTCGCTCGTCAAGCCGAAGACACGGGTTCGATTCCCCACATGGGTACAACGTGTGAAGCCCATTTCCCGGTGTCCCCCGCCGTGATATTGCTGGAATATTGCTAAAAGTGGCGTGAAACTAAACTCACTCACTCACTCACTCACTTCAAGATTCTGGCAAACAGTCCTCAAGAAATCACAGGAATATCAATAACCGAGCACGATGTTAATACCTGGTGTTACATGAGTTAACTGAAATAACATCCCTGACCATCCTGCTCATTGACTGTATAAGACGTTCAATTTGACGTTGAGGTATTGCATTCAATTTTTGATAGTGGGCTTGTTCCAACACAACAAGACGAGTAAATCACTGACGACACGCGCACAATGTGGCCTGGATTTGTCATCCATAATGACTGGCCAATGTGTTCAGGGGATGGTCATCTAAATGTGGTACAACCACCATGTCCAGGATGTCAATGATGTCCATTCATATTCTGCCTGATCGTCACAAGGTCACCTTTACAATCATGCGAGAGCCATCCCCACACCATCAATAAACACCCACCCAACGGTACTTATTTCAAGATATTCCCTTGAACACATGCGGTGTTCCTGCGACGCCAAACATGAGCTTGGCCATCAGTCGTCATGACAAAATCGATGATGTGGAAGCCACACTGTTTAACAGGCCACTCAACGTAAAATGGAAGACTGACTGACTGACTGACTTTGGTTTTACGCCGCTTTTAGCAATATTCCAGCAACATTACGGCGGGGGACACCAGAAATGGGCTTCACACATTGTACCCATGTGGGGATTCGAACCCGGGTCTTCGGCGTGACGAGCCAACGCTTTAACCATTAGGCTACTCCACCGCCCCTAAAATGGAAGAAGTCTTGTGGTTCTGAAAAGAGCTGCATCCTCCCTTGGAGCTGTGACTCGTGGTCCTGAATGCTGATGATCCTGAATGTCATTACTTTGCTGATGTTTTCTGGCCAGTCGGCTGACAGTCGATGAATGTTGAGGCCCTATACTTACTTATCAACAACGAAAACAACTGACTTGACAAATGTTCGAGCTGTAAGAATAGTTTTATGAAACATGATAATTGCTTAATGGCGGGTACGTGCATTTGATCATAACACGTGCATATCTACAATCAATGTATGGAAAAATTACAACTGTCGGATCCTTAAAACAAGAAATAAAATTGGTCTGGCCTAATCAAAATATTACAATTTTCACCATACATTCTGACCTGACTCTTTGGGAAGATGTCATATTCATTTCCTGCACTTATGAGAGCAAGAATTTTACACATTAATATTCAATAATATTCTGTCAAAACAGTCTTGTCTATTTGAATTTCTATCAATTATACCCACTTAACATTGTTTAAAGTCAAATACACATCCAATTTGAATTCATTTCAGCATGGTTTATTCAGTGGTAACCTAGCTATATGTTGAAAACTTAGTATGTTTATCTCCTGATTTAATAAGTTCCTTTCATTATTATTTTTGTTTTGTTTCAGTTCTTGTAGTTTAATCATTACACAATCAATCAATGGAAACATAATGATAGCATGGACATGTCAATAAATATTAATTATTTATTTTCCAAACAAAAGAATCTGTTGATGGACAAAACAAATGTCAGCAAATGCTGACTGCTCTCAAACCAAAGTAAACTTTTGGACCATGGCAAGGTTCATACAAATTTTCCTAAACAAAATAGCACTGCAAAAACATTGAATAGCCATTTTGATTCAATAATCTTTCCACACAAATTCATTCAGTAGTTACAAAATCTTCAAACACAAACTGTGTGGACATCATACATTCATCACACAAACATTTTGTTTGGTCACATATTCCTCCACACACCAAACTCTTTGTTGAAGTCAATGGTCACATGTTTCACACACACTAACCTTGCATTAGTTCAATGGCTACATGGTCTTGCATACACAAACTCAGTATTGAGGTCACAAGACAAGCTTTCCTTTAATTTCTCTTTCCGTTTCTTTTTCTTCAACTTCCTCTTCTGATTTTTGGTCAGTTTTGTAAGTTCCCCAGAATTGGTATTGTCTGCTTGTCTTGAGGATTCAGATTTTACATCCAACAGTTTTGATTCACTCTGAAGCACATTGGATTTATTCTGGGCAATTTTGATCCTTTTTCCTCTTCTTTTTCTCCTTTTGTATGTTGTTTCAGTGTCGTCATCATCAGCTGAAATTCCAAAATACAGTGTCAATTACAAACATTTCGTTCAATGTGGTATACTTTCAAATAGCAAAGCAAAGAAAGGCACATAATAAAATATTTGTATGTTGTTTAATGCAGCACTCAGCAATATTCCAGCTATATGGTGCAGGTTTGTAAATAATCAAGTCTGGACCAGACAATCCAGTGATCAACAGCATGATAAACAGGGCATTTGGGAACCTATGACATGTGTCAACCAAGTCAGCGAGCCTGACCTCCCGATCCCGTTAGTCACCTCTTACAAGCATGGGTTACTGAAGATCAATTCTAACCCGGATCTTCACGGGTTTCTTAAATGAGTGTTCAAGAGGACTAGTTCATATGTTGAGAGAGTGAGGATCGTCTTATGCTGCTTTAAGACGTATTTCAGCAATATAACAGCAGAGCGCACCAGAAATTGGCTTCAGACATTATACCCATATGGAGAATCGAACCTGGGGCTTCGGTGTGACAAGTTAACGTTTTAACCACAAGGCTACCTCATATGTTGGGCTATGTCCCGTCCATGTTTCACCCAATGACCAATCAGATTACACCTCTCTGTCCTTTGTATTCACATCAAACAAAAGAGCAGAACCTTGTCTAGATGATTTGATTTCAAGTTGTACAGACAACCCTTGTGTTAACGTTTACATTTGCCCAAGAGGATTTGGGTGTTAAAACCAGGTGGGGTTATAACCAGGGAAGCCATGCTTGTCACTCAAGCTAAGGGATTCATGAATACATGTACATTTACTAGAAATCGGGGCGGTGGGGTAGCCTAGTGGTTAAAGCGTTGGCTCGTCACGCCGAAGACCCGGGTTCGAATCCCCACATGGGTACAATGTGTGAAGCCCATTTCTGGTGTCCCCTGCCGTGATGTTGCTGGAATATTGCTAAAAGCGGCGTAAAACCAAACTCAGTCAGTCAGTTACTAGAAATCAGAGTAGTGTTTAGAGATCTTTATTCATTCAACCAGTCATATTATTTGTGCACTGAATACACATAGCAAAGTAATTTGTAGCACACTGTCACAATGGCATTGAATGTGGGTTAAAGAAGTAATTTATTGCTCTGATGACTGAGCACATAGGTGTGTGGTTACACACTTAGTGTCTGGTTGGTTGGTTGCACACTTAGTGTCTGGGTGGTTGGTTGCACACTTTTAGTGTCTGGGAGGGTGGTTGCACACTTAAGTGTCTGGGTGGTTGGTTGCACACTTTTAGTGTCTGGGTGGTTGGTTGCACACTTTTAGTGTCTGGGTGGGTGGTTGCACACTTAAGTGTCTGGGTGGGTGGTTGCACACTTTTAGTGTCTGGGAGGGTGGTTGCACACTTAAGTGTCTGGGTGGGTGGTTGCACACTTTTTAGTGTCTGGGAGGGTGGTTGCACACTTAAGTGTCTGGGTGGGTGGTTGCACACTTTTAGTGTCTGGGAGGGTGGTTGCACACTTAAGTGTCTGGGTGGTGGTTGCACACTTTTAGCATCTGGGAGGGTGGTTGCACACTTAAGTGTCTGGATGGGTGGTTGCACACTTTTTAGTGTCTGGGTGGTGGTTGCACACTTTTAGTGTATGGGTGGGTGGGTGGTTGCACACTTTTAGTGTCTGGGAGGATGGTTGCACACTTAAGTGTCTGGGTGGGTGGTTGCACACTTAAGTGTCTGGGTGGGTGGTTGCACACTTTTAGTGTCTGGGAGGGTGGTTACACACTTAGTGTATGGGTGGGTGGTTGCACACTTAGTGTCTGGGTGTTGGTTGCACACTTAAGTGTCTGGGTGGTTGGTTGCACACTTTTAGTGTCTGGGAGGGTGGTTGCACACTTAAGTGTCTGGGTGGTTGGTTGCACACTTAGTGTCAGGGTGGTTGGTTGCACACTTTTAGTGTATAAAACTATTTTGAGAGTTTTTCAGTTGTAATTCCAATACAAAAATTAAATGGATTTTACCTCACGAGGTGCATCAAACCACTTAAGCATGTTAATCATTGGCATGCTCTGGCTTATTGATTCTGTCATCGTACCCAAATGGTCATTTCTTGATAATATCAGCCTGCTGTTTTTGTCTACCCTTGACTCAAGTTATAGTAAAAATTGATAACACCAGTACAATGTAACATCAGCACAGATGGATACGCAATTCTAGGATGCTTCGGTGAAAGATCAAAGGCGCCGACAGTACTTTATCAGACGATAATGTGCACTTTTTGCATTACGTCACAATGTATTGGCGCCACTGCGCCATTCTAGTCTGCCCCCTCGTAATCTAACAAATTTGCATTACGTCACAATGTAAGCAATGTCACGATGCATGTCAGTTGTCATCGCCTCATACAGCCTCCTACAGTAAACTACTCCGTTGCATCCCGTTTCTTGGTTTGCAGTTGCTTCACTCAGCTAACATCACTGTTGGAAACATTATGTTTCTGTTTTCCCGACGGTTAAAATGTCTCAATTTGACTCACAGGTTTTCAGCGACACGGTAACGTTCACAATGTTTACATTCCCACAATGCAATCGTGGAATGTCACTTGACAACTCAGCTTCATCTGGATGTACTGATCTAAACTTATGCTGGTAGTAGAAATGCAACGTTCATATTGCCCCATATGGTTTACGTTAATCACAGATGTAATTAAATTTTTTTAGAGAAGATGTTTAATCCGAACATAAACCATCATCAAACTGTTTATCATTTGTTATCATTTTTTTCTGGTAACGTCCGTCTTAACGTAGGGGGGGAGAAACATCAATAGAACAGCGCGTCAGTTAGCCCTGTGCGAGGATTCTTAATTTAGGTCACCGACACCATTGTTTGTTTTCTGCCTTAGATTAATCATAATTATCCTTAGAAAGTATTAAATTTGACATCTTAGAAAAGAAATACAGTTTGCTCTACCACCATGTATAGTGTAATAAAGCACACTTTTTATAGTTGAACTATTATAACGCTTAAGGCCCGAAAGTGCTTTAACGTTATAATAGTTCAGGGCGAAAGTGTGCTTTATTACACTATACATGGTGGTAGAGCAAACTGTATTTCTTAAATAAGATCTCCATGTGCAAATGCCATATAGAGAAGCTTACATTCACTAGTCTCTGACGAGTCTGCGCCACTGGATATGGGAGGTAACTCTGTTGGGGTTTTGATATTACAGTTTACAGGGTTGTCTCCCCAGTCACTAGGGGCTGGAGACACAGTGTACATCTTCCTCTTCACCGCTACCTTGTGGCTGGGACTTGTCCTACTTGTCTCGTGTGATGATTGGTTATCCTGATGTTTCACCACGTCAGTATCTGTGTCTCCATACAGTCTGTGTAGCACTCTCTCCTTGAAGACTGAAACAATGGGAGGTCATATTAAATGAGTCACAACAGAGTGAGATGACTTTTTCGCCGCTATAAACAATATTCCAGCACTATCACAGCGGAGGACACCAGAAAAGGGCTTCACAAATTGTACCCATTGTGGGGAATCGAAACCATGCATTCAGCGTGATGAGCAAACACTTTAAAACTTTGGCTACCCCAATGCCCTGACTCACAACAGGATATGAAATTCAAACTACTGAATGCATGTGCACAGTATTTCTGGCTGAGGAGCCACTGATCCAAACAATATGCAATGTGTTATGTCTGTGGTCAGTTGTAATCAGCAGCTGCCGTGATGTTGCTGGAATATTGCTTAAAAGCGGCGTAAAACCAAACTCAGTCAGTGTAATCAGCAGTGAACAAACTATATATATATATTTCAGGGCTCCAGATAATTTTTCAACATCAGTAGTACGTACTCCATATTTTTTCAATATATGAGTGTATCATTAAACTTGTGCTTCGTTTCATATGTGCATGACAGCATTGCTACTCTGGAGCCCTGTATGTTATATTATAGATATATATTTCAATATCAATATGCTTCCCATTGCTAAAACGTTCTATTCCCCTTCCGGGGGTTACTACAAAAACATCAAGCCAATCTTCAGTTGTAGTACAGGGTGTATGTATTGATTACTCAGACTGTGGTCAGAAGCTGGTCAAGCTGGCTGCTTATATGAGCTGGATGCTAAATACAGTGAGTGAGTTATACAGTTTGAAATGTAGAGCTGATGTATTAGACAAAGTGTGCGCGAGTGAGTTCATGTTGGTTTCAGACATTTACCACTCTGGTGAAACCTAGAATGAAACCTACTTGCACCCAGTGCAACCTAAGGCAATCACCTTGTTGCATAAAACAAAACAGGTTGCACCTGCTGCTTAATATAGAATCTTTTATAATGCTTGAGTTTTGGTAAAGACGGTTTTGAACTTTATTATAACAAAAGAAATCTGTAGTTATCTTACAAATATATTAGAAAATAATTTTTCAAAAGCTTGTTATACTTTGGCAAAACAAGCAGATAAAGCCTTAGCTCCCATTTGGAGACTGTTCAGTCGTTTTCAGGACTTACCAGTTAACACTTATTTCAGAATGTTTGACTGTAAAATTCAGCCTATTCTCCTCTATGGGTCAGAGTTGTGGGGTGTTTTTGTAAATAAACCAGTAGAGAAATTTACCACCAAGTTTTGTAAATATGTTTTGAAACTAAGTTATAAATCTTCTAATGTCGCAGTACTGGGCGAAAGTGGGCACATGCCACCCATTGTTAACATTTATCTACGTGTTATAAAATTCTGGCTAAAAATGGCAGATTGCCAGAAAATCGTTTGGTCAAACATTGTTACTATATGTTAAAAAGGTTTGATTGTCAAGGTTATAAAATGGGGCATATTATTTTCGTATGGCTTTTCATACGTTTGGCAAGCTCAGGATGTTGGTGATGTGAAACAATTCATTAGCATATTTGCATTAAGAACGAAGGATGTATGGATCCAGGACTGGTCTGCTCGTGTGCATAAATCTTCAATGTTAACATCTTACTGTACCTTCAAAGCCACCTTCCAAATGGAGCCATATTTAAACCTAATCAAATCATCTAAATTGCGCCGCTTTCTTACAAAATTCCATTGTTCCGCTTCCGAATTAAAAATGCATCATATAGACGGTCCGTTTCGAAGACGAAAATCGATGCAATGTGCCCGTTTTGTGAGGATGGCCTTGAAGACGAATACCATACCTTAATAATATGCCCTTTATACACACATCTAAGAGATAAGTATAGACCACTATATTACCATAAGTATCCATCTAAACAAAAATTCATTCAATTACTGTCCAGCCATGATACTACTATTTTAAATAATCTAGCAATTTATGTGACTAAAATGTTTCATATCATTAATGCAAACCTTGCGCCGCTTGTATAACAAATCATTACGTTTGAATTATTTATGTAAATTGTACTATAGGCCTCACAGGCCATCATTTACGAAATAAAGAGTCTGAGTCTGTAGTTATCTTACTTCCTAAACTTTCATGAACAGTAAGTCCTTCAGTCACTGTTCCTACAATAATCAGAGTCACTGTTCCAAGTCAGTTCCTCATCATTCTGTTTTCCAGCTGAAGTCTGTGTTCTTTGAACACAAAATATTAACTGGTTGCAAGTTGATATACATAAGAAATTGCATTTAGCAGTTTCAGGCTGCACCAGCAAGTTCTAAATGCTTAAATCGAGCCCTGGAAACACTACCAGAACTGAAGCAAGATTATTAATACTCTGTGTGAATAAACATATTTCAAACATCAATATGCTTCCCATTGCTCGAGAGTTCTATTCCCTTTCTATACTGAAGGTTGCCACAGAAACATCAAGCCAATCTTCAGAAAATGGATACATATATGAATTCTGGGATTGGTTTTATGCAAACTGAAGAAAAACTCTCTGCATTGTCAAGTTATGTTCTCAAATAGTTTGAATATTGATCAGTGGCATGAAGTACAATATTCTGGTGCATAGTATTTTTACGGGATGGAACTATTTGACAAGTCCCTGATGAAGCTCCTTCGCTCGCCATCGTGACAATGTTATGTTGACATATTCTTCTCAAATTTCAAGAAAGAACACCTTTAATAAGTCAAAGTACGCCTTTTATGATAAATGTATCCATATTCTGTCAACTATAGCTCATTTCAAGTAGGCAATGGTTGCTGTAGTGTAAAAACAGTATGTCTGTGCATTGCTAATAGGTTCACTTATTGTAAACAATATTGAATGTAATTTTGTATAAAATTGATAAAGTAGATTAAAAACATAAATCAAGTTTATAAGCACATTGTGTAATTACATGGGAAAATAGTATATTCACCTTTGGATTTGTTTACATGATATTTCAGGTGTTACACGCTCATGGTAATTACTTTGTGTTCAAGTAAATAGAATCTTCTGGTAACAATGAATGTTCTCCAAGTGCATTTCCACTTCTGTAGGGAGGCTTATGTAATCAGCTTACTTGCTGGTAGTAGCAAATCATCATGAAAGTTGAAGAACTTCAGAAAAGGACAGGATATACATATATATTTTTATTTAAAAAGTTCTACATTTTCCTGTGTGAGGCACTGAAAACATCCACCAATGGAAGGGTGCTCCCTCCCAAATCCTTCCCCAGGAAATATAGCGATTGGTACCCTGTTAGGGCACCAGTGATGGTACACAGGGTCCGCTTATATCTAACTGCAAGCCGCCAGGGCCCTAAATCCAAAATGATTCATCCACCATTATGTTGTCATATAATGGGGTGTTATAACAGTTATCTCTGTAGTAATTCTCTGCTTGGATGATCGTAGTGATACTGCAGTATAAGTATTTTTCCGTACTATATTTAGCATTAATTTCTTGTCATAAGTATGATATACATGCTATAAGAAATAAACAGCAGATTGGAAAAGTTTGGTGAGTTTAGTTTTATGCTATTTTTAGTAATATTCCAGCAATATCATGGTGGGGGACACCGGAAATGGGCTTCACACATTGTACCCATGTGGGGAATTGAACCTTGGACGAGCGGACGCATTAACCATTAGGCTACCCCACCGCCCCCTCCAAATGTATAAATGAACGTATCATTTAAGGCCAAATGACCAACATTTGAAATGCACGTTTCATTTGGCCTCCAAATTTGCATTTATTACGCAGGTTGTAATATTAAAGAGCATTTAGGTGACTGGGGCTTGTAAATATATGGCCATTGTTTTCGTGTTTTCTTCTTTCCTTGTTGTTTAACACCGCACAATATTTCAGCTATATGGTGACGAGTTTCGGCCAGACAATCCAGTGATCAACAGCATGATCGTGTTTTCCAACGTGTAAATAAATCATAAATTATCTTCAATGAGACAACCCCAACGCCAACCTAAACAGGAAAACAGACCCAAATAATGATTAACCATAAAGATATTTTAACTTTTGTGGAAACTTCTTTGGGGCTGCAGGCTGTACAGTCTTTTATCCGAGCCCAGCAGGCACAGTAACCCGAAGCAGTTAACCCCTCACAAGTGAGGGTTTACGCATATACTTGATGTTGACCCTACAAAACTGCAACTTCTGCTGGAAGCGTGCTTCCCGTAACAGAATGAACTTACATGAATCTTTGTCCATCTTCACGTTTGGTTATCGTATCATTGCTTGAAAATATCAAACTGCATACTGATATCTGCTTTTCGGCTGAAGAAAGTTAACGGAAGTGGTTTTACCCGCGCCACCTATCGAGCGTTCGCAAAGGGACACAACTAAAGAAAGTACATCTTGGTATAAAAGTGTGGTAAAAGACTCATTATGTTTTAAAAAACAAAAGGAATACGGTGATTTTTAAGACCTTGAAAAATTACTATAACATAGCTATGCCAATGATAATGACTATTCCAAAAGCGTTTATCAAAATACAATGGGACGCACCTAGCTTTATCAGTACTAAATAATCGTTATTTCAAACGAAAAAAAAAAGCCTTTGTTTTATGATTTAGGTTGAGGTAGGCATTTGTCCAGTTAAACGTTAATTTAGAGTTTTACTGGTGTTTTGTGGATTCGACATTTCAGTACATACGGCATATAAAATATAAACTTGAAAAGTTAAACATTCTATTATAGGTCACGAGTTGGTACTACAATAACTTAGCCTTGAGCCCCAAAACAGACATTTGCGGTATGAAACGTTTGATGTAGGCGCGGACTTATTTATACAGATATGAAATAATAATTGCTACTGTACTTTGTGTGAAATTAATGATTGATTGTATTGTGTTATATTTGATGGAGCGGCACTTACATAAGCCGTTGGCTTGTTGTGCCTATCCATATTCATGTTATGTTAATATTTCATGAATAAAATATGTTTTTTGGAGAAAAAGGCATTCTGTTTTTATTTATCTATATATATATGAATGAAAATACACGTGTGTTTTTTTTATAAACAGACGTATCGCTTGGAAACATCAACATCAGCAATGCTTGCACTAAAATGCGGAAGTATTTTGCACGATAGAGTAAAAAGATGAAATGAAAGTTAATACATACTCTCTTTGTAATTTAAATGATATTGGAGATGAATTTCACTTTCTGTTTGTTTGTCCTATCGTAGTTCGAGAAAGGAAAACATATGTCAATATCTATTACGGCACAAACCCGAATATGAACAAAATGAGCCAGCTTTTTCACTGCAAAAAAATAGGAACAATTAGGAAATTTGAATATTTTGCAAAATAATAATGTCTCGTTTTAAGCAACGCCCCAAAAAATGAAGAAAATAACGTAGGAGTGTACGATTGTTCATTTAACTGGTTAAATGTATACTCATGCCAATAATGGTTGTCACCCCCTTCAATTTTTTTAATTGGAAAGGGGTGTGGGGTGTAGGGTGGGGTGGGGGGGGGTGACAACAATTATTGGCCTGAGTATATGTACACACAATTCTTTCTTGCAAACAACCCATATGTATACCTTACCATTTTGTGTATCATATATCTTCAACATATATATACGCTGTATATACTAATGATGTAAACATGTACCTCTAATGCCGCAGAACGCGGCCAGAGTGTATATAAAGTTCAGTTCAGTTCAGTGTTTTGCACGGGAATGCTCGCAAGATTGTGTCGTGGTAATAGACGCCTATTCATTTAAACCCTTGTCTATCAAAACATGGTCATAACAAGCCCCGTGAACCACGCGCGGAAGCGTGGCGTTAGATTACATGACAATAGCCAGTGCTTGAAATCGCAATGTTTTCATTTCATTCGAATGTGTAATTTTGTCAAGTGTACTGAGTCAACAAGTGAAGATAGTTTTGTTTCTTCAATCGTCAATTCGTTTTAAATACCTTGTCTACCAATCAGTTTCTTGGGCTTAAAGGCGACGTTTGAAGCTGTGGCTTGTCAGAAAAGTTTTCGTGTACTGAAAATGAAATTTACCACTTTGCCTGAAAAGGCTTTTGTTACGTGATGCCAAAATTTGAAGAACACGGTGCAGACGACGGACAGACGGACGACGTAGCTGACATCGAAATGGTTTGTGATGCGATTTATCGCCAGTCACGATCCCTGAGTTTGCCAAACAATACATTCGACCACACCATTGAGAGTCTGAGTGGTGAAACCCTGTCGAAAAAGGACGTTTCCCTGGGCCGTTTGTTGGGCTCGGGGGGATTCGGATCGGTGTATTTGGGGACGTACAAAAACAACGAAGTTGCGGTGAAAATCTTCCACGCTGTAAGCAAGAACCCCCTAGCTCAAGTCCAGAGCTTCAAGGCTGAGTTGGCGATTTTGAACTTCAAGCATCCGCATATCATTAGAACCCTCACTGCAACGACCCTGGACGACTTCAACGACGGTCCGTGGGTGGTTATGGAGTACGTGAGTGACCAGACTTTGCAGAGCGTTATTAACGACATGGACCAGCAGTTGTGTATGGTACGCAGGTTGAAGCACGCACTGCAGATAGCAAGTGCAGTACAATACGCTCACGATAACTGTATTGTACATCTGGATATCAAACCTGTCAACGTTCTTCTCACCCAAGATGACGACTGCAAGTTGGGCGACTTCGGTTGCTGCCAAGAAGTGGAATTCAATACGGGTCGAGTTAGTCCCACAAATCGATCTGCCTTAACCGGAACCTTTGCATACCGGGCACCTGAACTTCTCAAAGGAGGAGCGCCATCTTTACAAGCTGATATTTATTCATATGGAGTAACACTGTGGCAAATGCTGAGTCGGGAGACGCCTTACGCTAACGAAAACCAGCACGTTGTCATCTTCGGTGTCGTCGCATACGGACTCCGACCGAAGCATCCCGTTATCGGAGATGAGCCGTTTGATAAACTGTATCAGGATCTATACACCCAGTGCTGGGTTGCTGAGCCGGACGACAGACCAACATCCTCGGAGTTGATGGAGATCTTGGAAACGTGGAAACAGTATATCGACTAATGTAAGGTGGTGTTTTCAAAACGATTCCTGTGATGAAGCCAGAGTGCTAAGTTACCTGGATAACATGTTGGACTGGATAACCTCAAGAAACATTACCCTGGCCACATGACCCTTCGACTATATTTGCTTAACACTAAATTATCAATATTCTACGTTGACGTAATCATTACGGGCCTGACTGTTGGGAACATATCTGACGACTTATTTGTTTTGACGGTGCTAAGATTATTATTTTGGTAGCTACTCATCAGTCAACGTGATACAATGTGCTATTTCTCTGTGATCGTGATACAAAAGTGCTCAATATAATCATGAACTATGCCTATTTCATTTGTGCTATATTGTTCTAAGTGCTTGTGACGTGCAGTGAACGTTAACGCTGCTACATGTACATACATTTCAAGCACATTTAGCGAATTGATTTCCCAATGCGACTTTCTTGTCCGTTGGTCCTTTCTGTGCTGTGCAAGTGTCGCTAATATACATGATAAAAAAAAAAAACTCAAAAAAATATTATTTTCTGTTGTATCCATTTTTTTGGAACCAAAAAATGTTATTGTTGATATTTTATACATTGTTGTTAAGCGAATGTTGTGACGTCATGTACATTGTTTGAATCCGTCCAAGTTTTATTTTGTGATATTGTTGATGTATGGTCAGGTACCATTTACTGTAATGTATATATATGGGCGTTTTTGCCAAACTTGAAAAATTGTACCATAGCGAAATAGCACGTACTGTAAATCTATACCACGCTGGCTAAACAGTTTTCACGAACCACAATTGTACATTTTGTACAGTTTTTGTAAAATAGCAAGTATCACAACTTTGTTTCCTTCTATATGTAAATAATGTGTACATAAACACTTCCGCGTTTTTATTTTTTTATAATAAGAAAAAAAAATGCATTTTTTATCTTGCGTAATTAAATATGTAAAGTCACACTACTTGTAACATAGTTTAGGAAAATGCATCTTGTAAATATCTCATGAGAATGAATGTCAGTGCTCCGTGACGTGTCACTTCATTTGTTCTTGTAACACGCTGTCACTATTTTAGAGTTTTCTAACACTCCACCCGTTAACCCTGACTCGAATTTAACTAATATACCCTGGTTAGAAGTAGTTAAACATACTTAATGTAGCCTGCCCTAACCTTGGAATAATTAGAAGCAGGGTTACTGGAGGAATTCTGTCAGATTTGATCATGTTTATAAATGTTACGTCTTCCTGTGTAAATGATGTACATCAACATACTAACTTGTAAATATCATTGACGACCATTTGCCAATCATCTTTACGAAATAAACTATTGCTGTCAATCACGCTGCCTTATTACTTTGAGACTGACAAGGGCATGACCAAATATCGTGCAGCACGCGCGGTATCATATAACTGGTATCGCGAGGAAAGGCTCGACATGCCATCTCGTGCACGGAAAGCATGTGATTTGCTAAAACATGTGTCACGTCTTGCATGAAAGGCAGATAAAGGCACTAACACATGCTGTGTGTATGACTTATTCGTTCCGTATGCCTGAGGTATAATATCATTAAAACCAGATCTTAGTTCTCCCGACCGCTAAACAAAGTTCCGAGTACGACTAATCAGAGTGTCGCGTACCAAAATGACAATCGGAATGCATTTTCTTATCATGCAACCTCGAAAAGGTAAACACGGGGTATTCCGAACGACAGGATGGCTCACCAATGATCTTGGTTCGAATCCCTGGATGGTTACAATGTGTGAAGCCACAGTGCAGTGCCATTTGAACGTTAACACAACTGTCTATTCTTGGTGTGGCTATGGAAAGGGGCGATGACGGTCGAAAGGATATACAGCCTTGTCCCTCGTCGCGATTGATAGGAATAATGCCCAACGCGGCGCAGATTCCATCTGACTCACTCAATCATGCACTTGACATGTGTATTAAAAGTACTGTCGGAAATAGCAAAAAACTGTTTTTAGGCTGTTACTCTGTGTCCTTAAAATTGGCACAATTGCAAATAGCATATGTCGAAATAACCTACTTCGGCCTAACTGGGCGTTCAGCGGGATGCGTAATACGATATCCAGAAAAGCATGTTTACTCGTAAAATCGGGCAAAACTTAGAAAAAATACGAATAGCTGCTGAAAACAATAGATCAGACTATAGATGGCAATTAGGTCGCTCAGCCAGGTATGACGACAGACCGTCGACTCACCTGGCATGAAATGCACGTGCTGCCCACAGGCACAAGGGGTCATCTCAAAGATATTTTGTGCTTTTTCATGTGTGTTGACTATGTCTCATCTACTGATTAACATCTTACGTGTCTTTCTTTCATAAAGTTTATGTTGAGATATGTAAGAGAGTATGATACCCGAAAACCATAGAAACGCATCGTAGTATATAGGTGCCATGACCACCCGGAGATCGACAGGACTGGATATTATTTGTAAATTGTTATGACGTGCCGTGTACCTCCCCAGTATAATTGCCCTAAAGGATTATCTTATCTTAGCTGATATCTCTATCCCCAAGCCCGACCCCAGGTTTTGCTTTTGAGGCGACCCCTCCTATCTGTTTCTTTTTATAGTGACAGTAAGACTGCATGGTAGCTACATCCTTAATAGTTTCGGCATAAAAGTTATTATTTTTTACGTCAGCTATCGTTTATAATGAATCTACGTCTAATTTCAAATTGGGCATTTAAAAAGTGTCCTTTGTAATACAATATCGTCGCACACTAATTTGCATAAAGCCATGGTCTGTTCCAAATAAGTCTTTTTGGACTTAGAAAAAAGCCGCATTGCTCATTTCTGCACTAATTTCCCCGCAGTAAAGTCATTTTTCTCCGTTTCCTATCTCTCTACCACTGAGACTGTAGTTAGGCCGAACTTAGTTTAACAGATATTTCACACTTTCACCTATCAACTACATAAATTGTAGAGATAAATGAGAAAATACAGTTTTTTTCTGTTTCCGACAGTACTATTTTATAGTAATCTTTCACACTATTTTCTGCGATAGGTCACCTGTGATAATATTCCCACAGCCAGTCGTTTTAAATAAATTACTTGGTATCCCGGCTCAAAGTTCTCTCATTAAAGTCCATCAAACACGTAACGGAATCAATACTACAATTCTCATGGTTAAAACTCACAACTCGCCTGCGCTAGAACTTTGCCAATTCCGTCATCGCGCTATCGATCGATTCTGACTCAGTATTCCAAGATGGCGGAGAACCTGGCATCAGACGATAGTTCTGAGGACGAAAATGTTATGTTTACCAGTGAATCCGCCACAACAGATCTTATAATCGTAGTCGAGGATAAGAAGATCTTTGTTGAACGGATTGTCCTGGCGTTATCGTCGCCTGTTTTCTGCCGCATGTTTCATTCAGATTTCAAGGAGAAGTCTGCACAGGAGATCCCTCTCCCGGGCAAGAAATACAGAGACTTTGTGGAATTTCTTCTGTGTATCTACCCCTCGACGATGAAACAGATCGACAAGGACAACGTGGATGTCGTCTTGTCCTTAGCAGACGAGTACCAAATGGAACAACTGAAGAAACGTTGCGAGACGTACCTGTTATGCCGATGCGAGAAAAACAACCCTTCGAACAGCGATCTCGCTCATATACTCTACCTATCCGATCGGTACTGTTTGAGAAAGGCGTTTGATAAATTTGCAAGCATGGCAGTTTACAGGCCAACATACGTAATGAAGTCCTACTCTGACTTCAATTCGCTGAGCGGAGATGCTAAGGCCGATATTTTGTTCCGACGCCTGGAACTGATAGAACGCCCTTCAAGAGAAATTCTTCGACATCTACCCGGATTAATCACGGCCATCCAGAACAGCTCGCTCGACTGTGGACGGAATCACAAAGAGCGGGTGGCAAGCGGCAGGTGCTTGGAATGCATCACCTCCATCCTGAACGTCAACAGCATCGAGTGTTTGCGACAGCTTCGACAATGTAAATCCCTCACCGATAAACTGGTATCTGCTTTCAAGGACGATAATACGTATGTTGTCAAGAAGAAGGTAGCGATTGCTGACATGCCGAATGTGTATCGACCTCTCTAATCAGCATGATAATAATCACAATGGCTCGTGTTGTTCCATGAGGTCATCTTGATTATGGATTCTGTGCAAAACGAGCTTGTCTGGGAGCGTGAGAGACAATTGCTGTTGCACCATTGCTATCGATTTCTGAAAGAAGGTTTATATGTGTCAGTGTGTAAAGGTGTATGTTATTTCACTATTGTCCGAGATGCAGTTCAACAAATGGTGGTGTGCAAGTGACAAATGGCTACCTTATAAAACCGAACTGCGTGAGCACATGCACATGGTATTCCGATTGAAGGACGCTCTCTTTCAGCGATGCAGCTGGTGGAGACGTGTAGTTGTGTGGCTGTTTTTGTTTTGAAAATCAGTGGTTGGCAACTTACGTGCAGGTCGGGAAACGATAAATTGTGTTTGCTGACGTTAGCAGGGGAGTTTCAAGAACTATATACACTCTTTTTACATTAGAAACGTCACCTCCTGGTATCGCCATGGTCATGTGCAGGGTTTGTCAGCACTTGGCCCTTGTTTGTTGGTTTGTGGCAAAGCTGTCAATCACAGACCAAATCCTGTGAACAACGTAAGATGAAAAGACATGTCCTGTGACGGTAGTGTTTACTAATGTAGGAAATTACCCAATCAGTGTGACTCAGTTTTAAAAAATGCAGAAAATTACCCAATCGGTGTGACTCATTTTTCACTAATGCTGAAAATTACCCAATCAGTGTGATGCAGTTTTAACAGATGCAGAAAATTACCCAATCAGTTTGACTCAGTCTTCAGTAATGGTTTTTTATGAAGTAGCATGTACAATGTGAATGACGTACACACACACACACACACACACACACACACACACACACACACACATTCACCAGCCGATCTGTCCTGGAAACGGCGCGTTATAAACATTCTCATAATTAATATTATTATATGTGTAACGTTGTCATCTGGTGTATTAGCAACATAGCTTACACTAATGTAAGTGGCATTTTAGAAGCTGGTATGACGAAGATGAACAAGTGTACTGGACTGACAGTTTCTCTTTACAATCGATGCGACGTTTTTGGTGTAGATGCTTACACCGTTATCACGCTAGTCTGTCTCATAGTCCTTGAACCACATTATTTGTCTTTCTGCCTAACCCTTTCAACAATACTAAATGAAGCAAGTCTAGATTTCCTCAGGTTCAGGAATATCCTTTCTCACTTGGGCTTCTTTCCAATTCATGAAGATTCGTTTTTTTGGACAAAACCTATCACTTCCTATTGTATTCACTGTGTGTTTTAATACATGTATTCACCCAGGGCTGTGTTCGTACTGTCTAGATATACATGATATAATCATTGAAAGTGAACTGAATTGCTCTTCCTGTCGCGCTAGTTTGGTCAATACGGGACCATTTATTGTGCATTGTCGTAATTCCTTGGCAATATATTATGAACGTATATGCATGTAAATTTCAGGAATCCGAAACACTGCGTGAGTTGTATGGGTCTGTGTCACCTAACAAGCAAATTGTGATAAATATTGGACGCTATAAATGTGATATCTGTAGTAGCAGTGGTATTTTGTGTAACCGTTGAATGCAGAACAAGTGTCATTTGGCTTTTACTGTATGCGTTTATTATGGCGGTATTATGCGCGTGTCTGGATGTGTGCCGTCATGTCCCGGTGGTGTGATTGGTTGCTGATTCAACCAATCACTGGCTTGCCTTGACTTTGACAATTATTTATAGTCCGCTTATACACAATTTGAATATTACCGTGGCAGTAGAGACATCTTTAAACATCTTTCAGATAAATATGGCGAGTGGGTACACTGCGTATAGATGGGCAGTGCACGTGAAAAACGTGAGCTTTTTCGCTGTCTACCGATACTTGTTGAATAAATGATCAGTTCATGAATGAAGAATAAAGGTAAATGCAGATAAAATGAAAGCGAATTTCAGGATAGGTTCAAAACATTAAAGGAAATTCTCATTCCTGACATGAGCGTCTTCTGTAAACATGTCGTGCACATGCTGGCGTCCCAAATTTTAGACACATCCCTCGACTTACAACTTAGGCCAGTTTATTAATATCTTGTTTGTCGTGACTTTTTTCAAAACTGAACGGATACGGACAGAAATGATTATTTGTGTTATATGTATGTATTTCTTTTAGTTTAGCAAGTTACAGGTCGTAGTCAACCTAATTGGATTAAATGTACCGCTGGACATCTTTGGACCACGCTCCTGCGGCTCGAGGTATAATGAGACGGGACAGAGGCTGGTTTCCTTTGCGAATATGATATACGTGAGCAAAAAGTTGGAAATTGAATTGAACGAGTTGTTTCATCACAGTTCTTACAGATGACCGAAGTTTAGGATCAGCCGAGCGGGATAGGAATAGCAAGGGATATATCTTAACAAATGCATCACCCTTCCCATGTCATCCAAATTGTGTGTCACCCAAGAAAACCCATATGTCATCCATGCCTTTTGGACCCATCTTTCAGGCATAATTAAGGTCACTTTAGAATTGAAACGCTTGTCACCCACAAGAACACATATCCACCTAGCACTAATGTTGACGGAGGATCCAGCGATGGTTGAGCTTTAGAATTTGACAATGGAATGAATGCTGTTTTGCTATTTGCATGTCCTTTCTAAATCGTGTAAACGTACCCTGCTGAGTGTTTTATTCCACAATGCCTGTTATATTTTGTAATGCTTTTCACCAGAGGCCAAATATTGTACAATCCTCCAGGTCTGTTTTAACACAATCAAACCTAAAATTTGAAAGCGAAATAAAATCAATAAATATATTACGCTATTTCTTGTATTTTCTTTGGAAACAACGAGTTTCAGTGACCTGTAAATACCACAACACCACTGATTGGGGATTGATTGGACAAAATGCGGGCCAGGTATCCCGTGTGGATACCTTGGGGGGACCCTACAACCATGGACTGCCTGTATTTGTGTGAAGCGTTTGCTCGTCACGCCGAAGACCCTGGTTCGATTCCCTACATGGGTACAATACGTGAAGCCCATTTCTGGTGTCCCCCGCCGTGATATTGCTAAAATCGGCGTAAAACTAATCTCACTCACCCACTGTATTTGTGTGACCCTGAATGGAGTCTCTGTAAAAAACATGTTCCCAGTACCTCAAGCTGGCTGCTGACTGTAATGCTGGGTCTGTCTGGACTTTGTTGATCCACATCCAGATCCGTCAGAATCGATTACTTACACAGCTCACATACAGCTGGAATATTAGTGACTGGGGGTCGCCAAAATACAATTCTTGGTAGTTGAACTGCGATTTGAATTGGTATCAAGGCCACTCAAGGGCCATGATTGAAAGTGTCTCAGACACACCCTGTGGAGCATGACCAGAAGGAAATCCACGAATTTTCTCAAGTGCACATACCACATGTCGGTAGTTATTTTGTTTGTTTGTTGTTTAACGCCGCACTCAGATATATTCCAGCTATATGACTGCGGTCTGTAATAATCGAGTCTGGACCAGACAATCCAGTGATCAACATGAGCATCGATCTACGCAATTGGGATAGGTGACATGTGTCAACCAAGTCAGCGAGCCTGCCCACCCGATCCCGTTAGTCGCCCCTTACGGCAAGCATGGGTTGCTGAAAACAAATTTTAACTCGGATCGGGTTTGTCGGTATTTAATCTGCATGGGTAACAATGTTCATTCATTTTTCTGCCGACCCGGGTTAGAATGAGCCTTCAGTAACCCATGCTAGTAAGAGGCGACTAACGGGATCGGGTGGTCAGGATCGCTGGCTTGGTTGACACATGTCATCGGTTCCCAATTGCGCAGATCGATACTTATGCTGTTGATCACTGGATTGTCTGATCCAGACTCGATTATTTACAAACCGCCGCCATATAGCTGGAATATTGTTGAGTGCGGCGTAAAAATAAACTCACTCACTCATTCTTCTGCCACTATAGTACGAAGACGTTTATCAGATGACCAGAGATGGCACATTACTGGTATGCAATACTCCAGTATGGCCTGTAAAGACCCTGGTCGGGAAATGAATGTCCACTACACAGTTGTCAGTCAAAAAGCAATGAGATGAAGGATCGCCTACGTTCTGGAAGACCCAGGGTGGCGTCAGATCGTGGAGACAGGCCACTATGAGGCTCACTCGACAACTATTTGCCACAAGCACTGTTCTGAGGCACCTACGGTTACCATTTCGCCAGGTCTCTACGAGAACAGTCCGGAATCGCCAAAGGCGAGCCGGATACAGCCCAAGAGGGTTCATCATAAAGTCCTACTGAGCGGTCATCACCAAAAGTCACGTTTGGCTTGGTGTTTACCAGGCTAGAATCTGAGGACTTGGCGAAGAATACATTAGTCTGATGAAAGCCGATTCCTTCTTAATGTAACTAATGGAGAGTTTTAAGGCAGGGATATAAAGCACTTGCAGCAGCAAACAGATATTGATTGTTCCCAGGATACAAATAAACCTTCTTTGTGTCTCAACATATACACGACTGACTGACTGACTGAGTTTGGTTTTACGCCGCTTTTAGCAATATTCCAGCAACATCACGGCGGGGGACACCAGAAATGGGCTTCACACATTGTACCCATGTGGGGATTCGAACCCGAGTCTTCGGCGTGACGAGCCAACGCTTTAACCACTAGGCTACCCCACCGCCCCTACATATACACGAACACACACCCATTACAAAGCTGGGTTAGTATTCTTACTACTTTGATGAAACCAACCATCACGGCTATGGACATGACATAACCTTAAAACGTAATTCCGGCAACTGGGATTCGAACACACAACTATTACAAAGCTCTGCACAGCGTATTGTCGCACCTTAAATACATGGTCGCCGTGCTCCCATGGACAATACCAATGAATCACGACCCGTGTCAAATGAGGCACTTGTCCAGATATATTTTTCTGGAACCGGAATGAGTTGGGATTTATGCCGCATTTAGCAATATTCCGGCAATAATACAGCAGTGGGTACCATAACCGGTCTTCACAAACTGTACCCATAGCTCGAATAGAACCGGAGTCTTCAACATGACCAGCGAACACTTTAACCACTAGGCTACCCCAGCACCCCTGAAAGGGTCAGGATATGGCTGGAAGATAACAGTGGCATTACATAACAGGCACATCTGTGATGATTACCGAGACAAATAACACACTACCCACAATGTACCTGTAGAAATTTATTCTGCTGATATACATGATATCATACACTAACAACCAAGATATTCTGTATTGCGAAGCTGATATGAAGATCTTCCACCCAGTTACCACCCATGCAAGCCAGACACTGACAGTGCTAAATACATATATATTAGTTTGTCTGGACTGTTACATAGTGCCACAGATATACCAAGAGATCACAGCATCAGTATCTGTAACTTCAGCAAGGTTAAATAGGAGTCACTGGTCTACCTGATTAGGAATGATTACTAGATTTCAATTATTATGGGATACTCTAAATTGGACAACTAACTAATTAACTAAGACAGTTCAAATCCCTCCATTCAGGGTTCAAATAAACAATACATTCATGCTGGGTTTCATCATTTGATGAACCCATGTCAATGGACCAATTCATTTGAAAGTGATTAATTACTGGTAAAGTAGTGAGTGAGTGAGTTTAGTTTTACGCTGCACTCAGCATTATTCCAGCTATATGGCGACGGTCTGTAAATAATCGAGTCTGGACCAGACAATCCAGTGATCAACAGCATGAGCATCGTTCTGCATAATTGGGAACCAATGAGGTGTCAGCTAAGTCAACGAGCCTAACCACCCGATCCCGTTAGTTGCCTTTTACGACAAGCATGGGTTGCTGAAGATCAATTCTAACCCAGATCTTCACGGGTTACTGGTAAAGTAAGTAAGGTTTTAACAAAATCATATTTGGGATGATACACACTATTTACTATGTTTCTTATTAATTCCCCACCATCAATAAACAAATAATACTCAACAAAGTAAAAAATACAAACAATATTTTGTGAAACATTTAACTTACTGGTAACCTCTATCCAGGCAGTTGGCCAAAGGGAGATAACAAAGGTAAAGACCACAATGTCGAGGTCACCTGAGGTAATTGTAAGTACAATGCATAGGTAGTGCTCACAGTGGCTGCTGAATGAGGTGACATGCTTGAAAAAGCATGTGACCTTCAGTTTGTCAGATGGTGACCCTTTGTGGACATTTAACAAATAGAAAAGGGCATTGCCTGGGTGGCTAATTTAGTTGCAATTAACACAAAGGTAAATACAATGAGAGCAATGAGGCTCATGTGTTACTCAAGAACTATACCTGTAAAGACATCTGGATTTCCGTTCAACCAGAGATTTTATGACAAGGAAATGTAGATTTTTCTTCACCATGTTTCAGGATGTGAAAAATGATCGAAAATCCTTTTCATCCTGGTTTCAAGGGACTTATTTCAAAAGTTTTGCATGGAAAAACATATTACTATTCTTAACAAAGAACTTATTTAGAAACTACAGGATTTTTACCCAGTACATTTACCCTTGTCTTGTACACAAATGTACACAGATACACACAGACTCGTCACATATTAGCCATAACAATCACACTATAACTTACAGTCGATCCTGACCGCTGTTCTGAATACATCTCATACCATGCTAGGGTGACATAGCCCTGTATACAAACCACATACTTCTACTACATATGATGTTCCAAATACTGTTTAATGGAATGGTAGAATAGGAAATGCAATCTGTTAGAACCAAAATGCATAAAATTACAGCTTCCATTGTATCTTAGCAGTTGTTCTATTTACAAATTTGTTAATATGAAGACTATATAGGCTGTTTTCTTAAGCCAAAGGTTAAGATGGTTGAGGCAAAATGAAATAAACAACAGGAGAGATTCGGATCCACAACAGAGAAATACTGGGGGAAAAATAATACAGTGCAACATAAACATTGGTCCTTGCATACTGCTATAAGGCAAAGCTGATTATTTTTAATGTAACACTGAAAAGGTTGATGTGTTTTGATTAATTATCTTCAGTTAGCATGCTAACAGGTTACAATACAAATATGGAGTACCGGTAAATACCAAGATACATTAGTCCAATGATGCATATCACAGCACAGGACAATGCCAATATTGTGATAGGTGTCATATCACAATGCTAATACTGTGATAGATGTCATATCACAATGCTAATATTGTGATAGATGTCATATCACATTGCTAATATTGTGATACATGTTATATCACACTGCTAATATTGTGATAGATGTCATATCACAATGCTAATATTGTGATAGATGTCATATCACAATGCTAATACTGTGATACATGTTATATCACACTGCTAATTTTGTGATACACGTCATATCACACTGCTAATATTGTGATACACGTCATATCACACTTACATTGTGATACACGTCATATCACAATGCTAATATTGTGATACACGTCATATTACAATGCTACTATTGTGAATCTTTACTTACAATGATGCTTATATTGCCCTGCCCTGCATATAACCATGATTGTATCGTGGTACATTTTCTATGATACTTTTGGGGGGGAATTACAGATGAACATAAACAATTTAAACAAAGTGATAAAGTACATGAAATGCCTCCCCATGTATTAATTCATAACATCACTCTGTATCAGTTTCCAAAAAGTATTATTAACTCAGCTTTGCAAGAGTGAGTGAGTGAGTTTAGTTTTACGCCGCTTTTAGCAATATTCCAGCAACCATAAATGTACTTCACACATTGTACCCATGTGACAAATCGAACCCGGGTCTTCGGCGTGACAAGCGAATGCTTTAACCACTAGGCTACCCCACCGCCCTGCTTTGCAAGAACTCAGCCAGATTGTAATTGAAGTAGAAACATAAAACAGCCACAATCCAAAGTTCTGAATCTGATTGTATAATAACGTAAGTAGCAATAAGGTATGGCTTTCATGATACGCTTAGAGTACATTAAAGAATGTGATACAGTCCACATCACATCACTAGCCTGAGGCTTCCTCTCATACCATTCACCTTTCATTGTTGCTGCATTTCATATTGCACTTCTTGTAGTGTCTCTAGCCCCAGGTTACAATTCAATGCTTAAAGTATCCTTCAAGTATCATCAAACCCCACACAAATAAGACTTAAAAACACAGAAAATATAATACAGTAAAAATAAAAACCACTTCTACATAATAATAAGTAGTAACAATTTCATTTGATATTCCTTTAACTCACTAAAATTATCAAAATCAGGATCTCACCTCAAGAAGAGGATTTCATTTATGAAATGATGTTAAGTTAATCTGTTTATCAGATTATATCTTGATACAAATAAATAGATCACGACTTAATTTGTGGTTCTGCTTACAAAAAAACAAGTATTAAGTATTCAGTTGTGTCCTCAATAAAAATAACAAATAAATGATGAAAATTCAAGAAACAAGGGATATGTATAGAACATAATTTTGAGTACTTGCATAATATTGCACACACAACGGTGTGAGAATAAGGAATGGCATAGGGATGGCAATAATAATATATATCAATGTTAGTTGCTAACTGTCAACAAAAGGACAACTAAAAAGTCACCAAAAAGGAAAACCAAATACAGTATTTCTGTAATGAGTCATGAGTATAAACACAGAAGAAATAACTTTACTGTTATTACCATGACAACAGTGACACAAAATGGATAGAAAATGTAACAAATGGATCATCATAAAGATGTTGATAAAATCTTCAAATCTTCACACAAACAACTTTGGCATAATTTGTAGAGAGAATCTTTGAATGCATACCTGACTAGATATATGCCGGTAACTATTCTCATGTTATCCAATATTCAATTTAAAATGGGGTCCAAATTAGAAGTCGACAGGAGGAAAGAAAAAGTTTAGGACCCCTACACATGCAAAGTTTAACATCAAGAGATAAGACAAAAGCCCCTTGGCTTTCTTAAATATGTCTTGCAGTGAAGTCAACATTAGCTTGCATCCTGCTAGAGACAGTATAAACTAAAACAAACAACCCAAAATATCAACCATACACTTCAAGATTGCCCCCGAAATACACAAAAACTGTTACACTAAAAACTATGAGAACCCCAAAACAAACGTCCTATGAAGGATGAGTGAGTGAGTGAGTATGGTTTTACGCCGCTTTTAGCAATATTCCAGCAATATCACGACAGACACCAGAAATGGGCTTCACACATTGTACCCATGTGGGGAATCGAACCCGGATCTATGGCGTGATGAGCAAATACTTTAACCACTAGGCTACCCCACCGCCCCTATGAAGGATGAAATGAATCACACAGTGACACACAACCAAAGTGCCAACTACTCCCCCTGGCAAACAATCACCTGAATGTTTAAGCTGCCTAACAGTGATAATCAATACAATCTTCCTCATCTAATCCCTTATTACTAATAATAATTGGGCTATAAACAGACTAACTGTTAACAACTGCATTCTGACTTCACATGTTTTCTACGATGGTGGTAATGAGTTTATGCATCGTTTGGTCGGTTCTGGAACAACAAATCAATGACGCTTTCATCGGCCAGTGTTGACGTATCACCAAGCTGGCGGTCACCGACTGCAGTCTTCCGCAGGATACGTCTCATGATTTTCCCTGATCGAGTTTTGGGCAAGGCTGGAGCATTTTGGATGAAATCTGGTTGAGCAAATGGTCCAATCTTGGCACGAACTGAAATACAGCATAAGGATTAAACTGAAGCAGACTCTAAAATAAACAACATCTGTTTATGTTTATTTTAAACATTTTCACAACTTTCACTGACTTCAACATACTTCAAATATTTGGCCACAAAAACATTAAAAAGTGTCCAAATTGTAAAAGATCTTGGCAGACTTCCTCTTTGAAAAATATCACAAAAAACTCTAGACATCAGAAGGAAATTAGTGATGTCGCCCCGAGCAATGATTCAACCCCAACCACCCTATTTACAGCCAATCAGGAGATGGTAGACCGATGTGCGTCGTGATATGGGTCATACGAACATGTATACAAAATTAAAATTGTAACCTATTTAATGAAATCTGAAACTCATTCACGCTTACCAATATTCTTTAGTTCAGTTGTAAGATCAGGGGTGAATTCAAATCCCTGAAACAAAGAATTATAAAGACCATGATAATGTAACTACAATTAAATTGTAACTCTAGTCCATTAACATGTTAAACAAACTACTGGTGCTGACGGATTAATGAGATTAACATTGTCCCTATCCTTCAAACCATAGTCAAGCTATGGATAACACGGAACCCACCATCCCCATAGCATATGAGATATGTATAGCACAGCAGCCAACATTTCACAAAGTACTTGTTATAATCTGGTCAGAGCACAAAGCGATACAATAAAAACTGTCTAGCATACAAAACAGCATTCTGAAACTCAGTTAATATATTGAACACCTAGTTTCCATTTTGACAACAGCACCTTCTGCTGATATGAGATGGATGTTTCAATTGGACTGATGCAACACCATCAATATACTTCATTCCAGTTGATAAACAGGGTGCATTCATAGAAAAAGGGTTTAAGGCTAAATAACATTCCTCTTTTAACCGATATCTATGAAAATGTTGAGATATTTTCACAGATTGGCATATCATTCGTACAAATTGAAATCATATTTTTGTTCCAGCTGCAAATTTGTAACAGAAAAAATATTTATATATTCAGGACAGTTCGCAGTTGAGGTATAGTCAAGAGTGTTGAGGTATAGTCAAGAGTGTTGAGGTATAGTCAAGAGACTTGAGGTATAGTCAAGAGAGTTGAGGTATAGTCAAGAGAGTTGAGGTATAGTCAAGAGTGTTGAGGTATAGTCAAGAGAGTTGAGGTATAGTCAAGAGAGTTGAGGTATAGTCCAGAGTATTGAGGTATAGTCAAGAGTGTTGAGGTATAGTCAAGAGTGTTGAGGAAGTGTGTCACCCACCTGCTTCAGGGTGACGAAGCAGTAAATGCACTCTCCCTTGATCTTGTGTGGGTGAGAGACAGACGCTGCCTCAGTCACAGCCTTGTGCTCAATGAGGGCGGACTCCACTTCCGCTGTGCTCAACAAGTGGCCGGACACATTCACCATGTCGTCTATACGTCCCGTGATCCATATGTACCCGTCTTCATCCCTGCGTGCACCTGAAATACAGAAAGTCAGTCAAATCTGTCATTGCATGGCCTTTTGGGAGAGGGGGTGCCCCTTTTGAAATTCTGTCACCCTGTCCTTTTAGGATCATGGGGGAAACATTATGTCCCATTACGACAAGGGTAGGCTGCCAGGGACATGTGAAACCCAGAATCACCACAAGGGGTCTCATCCGAGAGACTACAGCTGCATTTCATAGTACAGTCAGCTCTCGTTAATCCGACACTCATTAATCCGACAATCACGTTAATCCGACAAAAAATTAGGGAACCATTTAAAACAGTGATAATTACTCTCGTTAATCCGACATTCTCGCATTCCGACTCCGACACACCAATCTAGCAACCGATCATTGTAAATACATTGTAAAAACATTCTTTAATCCGACAATCAACACAGCCGGTCGGATGATCCGACCGTATACAAACATCACACATGAAAGGTGATTAGTGCGTGCCTTACTGGCTGCTTAACACCCACCTCAGTGAACATCACACTTGTAACATATTCAACATCCGGGTCATAATGGCAGCTGATATGCGGTAAAAACAAACGTGAGTTTTGTGCCAATGTGGTCATGAAATAGATATGAAACTGTTCGCTTATGTGATTATATATGTATGTTATGCCATCTATGAATGTTAATAAATGAAAACAAGTATGTATTGTTAGTATTTCTTATTTCTGTGAATATTTTTACATACGATGAAGATAACTAGATCTACCATTTCTGATATGCATGCAACAGTATGACGATCATGACATTTAGTAAACATTGATATTTTCACACAAATACATTAATCCAACATTTTCATTAATCCGACATTTTCGTTAATCCGACATATTTCTCTGCAACCACAAGTGTCGGATTAACGAGAGTTGACTGTATATAACAGTTTACTCAGGGTTCATATTTTAATGGGTCAGTGAGTATGGTTATACTTATATATTAGAAATATTCAAGTAATATGAAAGCAAGGGATATCAGAAATGGGGTTCACACATTGTATCTATGTGAAGAATCAAACCCAGGTCTTCAGCTGAAACCACCAGGCTACCTCACTGCACCCTTACAGCTTGTCAGGTACATGATGTAGCAAATCATATGGAACTGAAGAGGACCCAGAGTACAACTCACCATCTCCAGTGCAGTAGCACCCGGGAAACTTCTTGAAGTATGTGGTCTCGAACCTTTCATGGTCTCCATACACTGTCCTCATGATGCTGGGCCAAGGCTGCTTGAACACCTGGAAACAGTTGGGCCAATATGCTGAACTTGATTTAGGCACTTCAATGTACGATCCGAAGTCATTGGTTTCTTTGTTGTGTGACACAAAACTCCCAGCTATATGACATTCACTTGTAAATAATCAATTCCGGACATTTATCATGTCGGATGTCTGAACTTTCTGGATGTCAACTGTCAGGAATTTATTGGATATTTCAAACCAAGCTTTTTTATACTGAAATATGTTGAATGGTCAATTTCATTGGAAACAGTATCATCTGGGATTACAAATTTGGGGGGAAAATAAACTCCACCTACCAAATATCCTTCAGCGGCCCCTGTGAGTTCCTTCCCCTCGTCATTCACAATGGCTGGAACTACGCCGAAGAAAGGGAATGTCTGGCAACAAAACAAGGAAGATACATCAGGCATCTAATTTAGATTTTCTGCATATTACACAAAAGTTTTAGCAAGTGTCAGAATGAGTGAGTTTAATTTTACGCCACAATCGGCAATATTTCAGCTATATGTCAGCGGTCTGTACATAATCAAGTCTGGACCAGACAATACAGAGATCAACAGCATGAGCATTGATCTACACAAATGGGATACAATGACATGTCAGTGAGCCTGACCACCCTATCCCATTAGTCGCCTCTTACAAAAGCATGGGTTACTGAAGATCAATTCTAACCCGGATCTTCACGGGTCTGCAAGTATCGGAGACGACAGTGTCTCCATGATACAGGATAGGAGGTTTGATCCTCGGCCACATCATACCAAATGTATCTCAGTGGGCTAGCACTATTAAACAGGCATACTTCCAGGCTAGTACAAGCGACTCACACAGACATATGCCACATGAACTTCGTTTCATTTCATTTTACCTCATCTCATCTTATGCACTGGATGAAGGCAGAACAACACTAAACATGGACTTCCAAACTGTTATTTATTTTTATTTTTCAAATTTGATGAAAATTCTACAAAAAAGATCTTTGGATGGCTGTTTCAATATACATCAGCATGCAATATACAAGTTTTATCCTCTTAATACTTAGCACCATAAGCATAACAACATCTTCCATCTTTCAACATCTTTTTGCAATCGGGACACAAAAATGTAATTTTTGGAGTAAAATTGATATTTTATACTTATCCTGACTCATGCTCTTTTTGCTTGTCTTCTTCTTCTTGCGAACATAGTGGAACACTTGTATCTCCCTAATTGAAGCTCCCTTCAATTTAAAATCACTAATTAGTATTCACCACGAGTTACCTCCTTTCCACAAGCGCGGGAACGAGGGCGCCACCTCTACCCATGTGCCTCACTCTCTCCTCATATACTGAGCCCAACATTTGAATTTACAGGGAAATCCAAAGTGTTATTTGGGGAGGATGGGAGGGCTGACCTCATGAGTCAGGATAAGTATAAAATATCAATTTTACTCCAAAATTACATATTTTTCCTTATCCTGACTCATGCTCTTTTGCTTGTAGCATCCTACAGACGGAGGTGGGAATACTAATACTTTGGATTTTTAATAATTAGTGATTTGAACTGTGATGATTGTAATAACCCTATGGGAACTTCATAAAGGCACTGAACTGATGAATTCCTGCTGCTAACTTATCAGCTGCCATATAAAAGGTTATTACCATGTACTTATTATGATAAAGTATATATAACATTAATACAATGCTTAAGACTAATAGACTTAAGCTTGTTAATATGCTAGTATAAACTCCTTAGAGTTTGTTAGCTAAAATACTTTAAGATATAACATAGTACTAAGCTTAAGATATGATTAAACTTAAGCTAATTATATAATAGCAAACTCTTTAGAGTTTGTTAGTTAATATACTTATATGATATAGATATAATGCTGAGCTTAAGATATGAATAAGCTTTAGCTATATATATAATAGCAAAACTCTGTAGAGTTTGTTAGCTAATATATTTTTATAATATGAGTATAGTACTGTGCTTAAGCTATAATTAACTTAAGCTACATATATAATAGCCAAACTCTGTAGAGTTTGTTAGCTAATATATTTTTATAATATGAGTATAGTACTGTGCTTAAGCTATAATTAACTTAAGCTACATATATAATAGCCAAACTCTGTAGAGTTTGTTAGCTAATATATATTATAATATTAGTATAGTACTGAGCTTAAGATATAATTAACTTAAGCTACATATATATAGCAAAAACTCTGTAGGGTTTTGTTAGCTAATATATTTTTACAATATGAGTATAGTAGTGTGCTTAAGATATAATTAACTTAAGCTACATATATAATAGCAAAACTCCGTGTAGAGTTTGTTAGCTAATATATTTTACAATATGAGTATAGTAGTGTGCTTAAGATATAATGAACTTAAGCTACATATATAATAGCAGAACTCCGTGAGAGTTTGTTAGCTAACATATTTTACAATATGAGTATAGTATTGTGCTTAAGATATTATTAACTTAAGCTACATATATAATAGCCAAAAAACTCTGTAGAGTTTATTAGCTAATATGTTTATAGTGTAACCATAGTACTAAGCTTAAGATAAGATTAGACTTAAGCTAAATGTATATAGCAAAATAAACTCCTTAGAGTTTATTAACTAATATACTTTTTTATGTTAAAAACATAGTACTGAGCTTAAGTTATGATGAAACTTAAGCTATATATATATAATAACAAAACTCCGTCGAGTTTTGTTAGCTAATACCTTTATAATGTAAACATACTGCTTAAGATATGATGAAAACTTAAGCTAATTGTATAATAGCGAAAACAACCCTTTAGAGTTTGTTAGCTATGATATAAACCTAGTATTGAGCTTATGAAGGAAAACTTAAGCTACATATATAATAGCAAGAACTCCGTAGAGTTTGTTATAATGTAACCATAAAGCTTAAAATATGATGAAACTTAAGCGAAATATATAATAGCAAAACCCTCTTTTAGAGTTTTGATAGCTAATATACCTATATGATATAAACATAGTACTGCGCTTAAGATATGAATAAGCTTAAGTTACATATATAATAGCTAAAACTCTGTAGAGTTTGTTAGCTAATACATGTTATAATATAACCATATTGCTTAGAAATATGATGATACTTAAGCCAAATAGCAAAAAACTCTTTAGAGTTTGTTAGCTAATCTACTTATATGATATAAACATAGTACTAAGCTTAAGATATGAATAAGCTTAAGCTACCTATATAATAGCAAAACTCCTTAGAGTTTGTTAGCCAATATATTTTAATAATATGAGTATAGTACTATGCTTAAGGTATAATTAGCTTAAGTTACCTATATAATAGTAAAACTCCGTAGAGTTTGTTAGCTTAATTAACTTAAGCTATGTATAAAATAGCCAAAAACTCTGTAGAGTTTGTTAGCTAATGCATTTATCATGTAACCATAGTATTACTCTTAAGATATGAATAACTTAAGGTAAATATATATAATAACAAACTCTGTAGAGTTGTTAACTTATATATTGTATGATGTAATAATCATAGTACTGTGATGATAAAAGGAACTTAAGTAAATTATATATAGCATGAAGCTATTAAGTATTGTTATAAGATAAGTAAAAATCTGTTAGATTGACTTATCTTCTCCGAGGAACTGTCAGCTGTTGTGCGAGGACCATGGGATCGAATTGGTGTATACCTGAGACGTCCTCGGTGGTGATATCTCTCAGATAATGGTTTGCAACCACCATATCGGATTCCAGAAATAAACCCTCCATTATTTCAATCACATTTGTGTAGAACAATTCTAGAAGTTAGCGCTATAATATCATGAGTATTAAGCTCATGGAGGGTCGGAATAGGTCCATCCGCATATGCACGTAGTATGACAGTTCTGATCCAAATGGAGATATAGTACATGAGACTTCACTCTGCGTAAGTTGATGATAGAGGAAATAATCTGTTGCATTTTTTCCTCCTGTTTGGTTTGGTGGAGATAAATTTACAGTGCTCTTGCTGGCCATCTTGATAGAATCATCGTATCATGGGGTCCAAGTATGTCATCCAGGCGTGTTCATAAACCTCACTTGTGAGGTGTTGGAGCACTATATTCATATCCCCAGGTTGGGCGTGAAATTTCCGTTTTATTCTCCAAACAGAAGTTTAGTAGGTTTACTAACCATCTAGTTGTGTTAGTTGCTTGATGAAATTCAGCTGTAGTCTGAAACGCTGTGGATTTAGATCCAGTTGTATCTTTCGTCTAGGTAATTCGCTGCGAAGTCCTTGACGATGTAGGTGCACAACCAGGTGTGTCTGTCCTCGTTGAACTTTATGTAAAATCGCCTGACTGCCGATCCCTCGTCTTAACTTGACAGGGGAGGTCTCTAACTTGAAGAAAGGCAGTCTAATCATGAATGTTCAGGTTAACTGGACTGTAATGAGGCTTGCTCGTTCACTGATATATAGTTGTCACTTGTGACGTAAGTCTTGAACTGTGAACAGAGATCGACCTCTGTGTAGGTCGTTGTCCCTCGCGGTCCAATCAGAACAAAGCATTTTGATTCTGTATAAATACCCGCGCTGTGATGTCACCGGTGTAGCGGGAAAAAACCCACCTTGAATAAATTCTTGTCGTCGTTGATATTAGCATAAACGTCGGTCTTCACCGTAGCTTCCCGAAGTTATCCGAGTGACCACGTGTTTCGAGGGTTAATGGTAACCGCGCGAAACCTCCGGCGCGAAATATCTCGCTCTGTAATTTTATGCTGGGTAGGTTATTTTCCTGGTTGTCGTGAAAATAATTTCAGTTTTGAATATAATTCCGACTTCCTTATATATAAGGGTATAAACAACTTGCAAGTTGTGAGCTTGTAGACTGTATACATGAATGTATCGTCATAATTGTAGAATTAACGTTGAACTTGTTGTACATATTTCTTCTCAGAAACTTTGACGATTAAAGAGTTATACTCGCTGTAACAAGGCTGCTGTTCAATTTTGATATTGAATTGTCTGCAGATATGCGTAATGGTCACGCATGTAGATAATCGTATCGTCGTCCGGGATTGTATATTAGCAATTTATACGGAATAGTTGATTTCTGTGAAGATCTATGAAATGTCGTTGACTAATAATACAGCGACGTTCTGTGTTGTAAATAGCCTAAGCAATTATCTTCGCGTAGGCTTATAGACGGCATCTGGCATACAGTTGATAATCAACTTATGCGACGTCTTGAACGGACTGACGAGTAGCTATATATGACGAGTGGCTAGTATATGGAAACCTTGGAGGAGACTTCCTCGGTGAACGCCGGAGACTTCGCGAAGTTCTCGAAGTATCCCTTCTAGATCTTCTGGGTGAAGTAGACTTGGAGCCACTTAGCCTTCGCGACCATCGCGAAGGTGTCGAGTCAAAGCCCGATTAGTATATATATATATATATATAAATATATATATGAGCGCTTGCTTCGTGAACAGCCTCTGTGTTTAACAGGATGTGGGATCGGCGAAGCGCTTGCCTAAGTAGGGCCGCATGGATCATCTTATCATATTCAGAAGTCGTGTTACGAAGTCTGGTGATAAGTGTCTAATTGATCGTTCTAGATCTATTTAGGCCAGCGAACATACGTCTCGTCATGGATTCAACAGAACCAATATACGATTGTAGTTCTTATACTTGATATCGATGATCAACTTGTCTATGGGTTGATCTTCTCGGAGACTTGTGAGGGGAACGTTGATAGTTTCGCGAAGCTCTTGTATAGTCCCTCGATGTCCTTCTAGATGATGATGATCTGGATTCAGGTGTCCTTCGCGCATGCCTTCGCGAAGCTTCCTCTGCGTCCGGTCCGGGGGGAACGACGATATGACCTTCGCGAAGGCTTCCACATCTAGGGATGAAACCGCATAAGGTGATGATCTATCCTGCCTTCGCGAAGTCCTTCGCGAAGGCTGTACATCTAGGTTCTTTCCGCCTTCGCGAAGGCTGTACATCTAGGTCCTTTCCGCCTTCGCGAAGGCCTTCGCGAAGGCTGTACATCTAGGTCCTTCGTCAAGGTGGTCCGTGACTTCCTTCGCGAAGGTGACATCGTCCTGGCTGCTACGTTGACGGGGGGTGCCTCTCGGGTGCTGTCTACGTTGGAGCCTTCGCGAAGGCTCGGACCCTGCTACCGCAGATATTGGTCCTCCATGATGTTCATAATTTGTCGCATCATGTCTTCTGGGATGGTCTGCGACGAGGTCGTCGGTGCTTTATCTGCGGTGTTAATGGAGGGTCCACCGGAAAATCGTCCGACATCAGTGTAGAGGCATCAGGCTGCATGGTGATCTCTGCTGATGTCGTTAGCTATCATCACCGGTCGTTTCTTGTGGCGTACGTCGGGGATGATGATCAGCTGATCATCGTAGAGGTCCAGGTCATCGGTTGGAACAATCTCGGTTGAGAAAGTCCTAGTAGACTTCGTTGATTTTCCCTCAGAGGTCGACGCTGCCCTGGGTGTGCGACGTCTGCGTTGAGTGTTGGTAATGATGGGACCCTCAGGACGATCATCGCATATCTGCGTTGGTACATCAGGCTGCATGCTGATCTGTGCCGACATCGGTCAATCTTTGATGTACAACCGGTATGATGACCGGCTGATCATCATACAGGCCCAAAACTTCGATGGGAACGGTCTCGGTTGTTGAGATGTAGTAGAAAAACCCTCTAGTCTTCTGCTGCGGCGATGGGATGTCTGGGGAAGCAGGATGCTTCTTGGAGATGGCGGACTCACGCCCCACACCTCTCCACCACTCTAGCGAACACCACACGGGAGGGGAGTCGGCCAACAGCAGTAGACTGGCGAGGGGTTCCGTGTATCAGTCATACTAGACTCTGCATACGCGACCTATCTGCTGTGCGTACAAACGCAAAGTAAATATTAATAAAAGGTAGAATTGGATAAATTAGTACCGCAACTGCAGTGTGAATATAATAAACATGGCGCCGTACATCATATTAAAGGCGGATCAGCAGCAGCATAAAAACGTAATCTGCAATAGTACAGAATTTTCATCAACGTAATCCACTGAAACAAACACGGCGTCCGTGAATAAACTGTAGAAAAAGCGACTAAATATCAATATATAATCGTTGAAGGATACTAGCTAAACCTCTATAGATGTCTATACGAGGTAACTAACTAAATATAAATCAAAGGATATAGTGTGTCGGGAGACACAGGCGCTCTCACGTCCAGCTCACTGGGCGAAGAAGGAGAGAGTGAGGCACATGGGTAGAGGTGGCGCCCTCGTTCCCGCGCTTGTGGAAAGGAGGTAACTCGTGGTGAATACTAATTAGTGATTTTAAATTGAAGGGAGCTTCAATTAGGGAGATACAAGTGTTCCACTATGTTCGCAAGAAGAAGAAGACAAGCAAAAAGAGCATGAGTCAGGATAAGGAAAAATTTATGTCTTCTGCACCACAGCGAGGTGTTTCTCTAACAGAAGTTAAACAACTACATGTTTTTACTGATGACAACTTGAGACTGACAAATGTGAGAGAAATCTGGGTATGAGACTGGACTCACAGCTGATCCTGGTTTTGTGGCAGTGGCACCGGGAAGTGGAGTGATCACATGACCTCCCTGAAACCGAAGTATCACAATCACAGAGAACATCAATAAATAGTTACACATAGGTGCATATGAACTAGTTGACCCCAAGCACGCTATGCGTTGAGAAAGTGACATAACAGTCTGGTCCACTTCAATTGAAAGTCTACGCGCACAGTTTCACAAACTCAGACAACAAAATCAATTTTCCCCCCAAAGGTATTGTTTGGTTAAAGAGACATCTCTAAAATGAAATTACATCACAATGCTTTGTAGACCATTGTGACATCATCAATTACCATGATGACATCACTAATCTGTCTGCTGGATGGCTGTAATGTTTATACGCAACTCACTAATTATTACTGTTTACAAACTAGAAAAGAATGATTTCTGATGATAAATAGAATCTCATTCTTGTTTCTTTGCTACATCAAATACATCACTTGTCACCGAAAGTAAAAATCTCCTCAGCATGAGTAGGGTCGTAAACAGATATCAACTCAAGTTGATAGATTTGATATCAAAAAGGCTCTTGAGTGAGACTGTGTCTTCACTTACACCAGTCTAAGTAAACTTAGGCTCAGTATTATTCGTTACACTGCTATACTGAGTCTTACAAAACCTTGTGGAAGGTCGCGTCAGCTGACCTTTTCAATGGACCAATCAGAACACAGCTTACCAAATCGCGAAAGTTGACATTTGCACATGCCTTTCGAACTTTTACCTCGAAAAAGTTTTGTACCCGAACGATTCCGAATGCTATTTTCCGTACGATTGCTTCCGAGTGATGCACATGGAGCACGCCACAAGAGTGAGTAAATAATCGCAGAAAATAGCTTTTTGTCAGTATTCAAGGATGTCAGCTTTCGGAAATATTAGCTAATGATAGCCATGTCAACAGAAACCCAAAAGCGTATATTCTGCAGGTCATATATCTGTGTTCTATGCAGGTTTTCATTTGTTATGAGATCAGTGTTGGCAACCGGGGAAGAGAAAATCCATTTTGTAAGTCCTGCCAAACCCTAAATAGTAGCCGTTGTCTGATTGGTTAAATCCTTTCGGCCGGCTCGCGTTTGATTGGACAGTCATAGGTCGCTCAAAGGTTACCTGACGTGACGTTCTACAAGGTTTTGTTAGACTCAGTATAGCAGTGTAACTTAGACTGCACTTACACAGAAGCTCACTTCTGTCATGTGTTTCTGTTTTGTTCTGACGGATGTGCGATATAAAACAGATCTGTGATTTTGTGGGGCCACTTGTAATGTTGTTTGCAACTCTAGGTTACTTCACATTAACACTGAGGAGGATCAAACACTTTTATATTGAAAGTATGCTACACATTGAGTTGAGTCAACTGCAGCATTTGAAATTAACGTTGCTCCTTAAGCCCGAAGCCGACTGAAAACCACTCGGACCCACAGTTTTGTTTTCTGCAGGTACTTATGGACAACAGCTTTTTCATCTCCAATAACTAAGAGTATTATTTCCATATCAAAATATAGGGCCTACACATTCTGATCAGGACCCACAACATTTTATGGTTCTGGGTCCTTAGGGCCTGCAGCTATTCAGGGTTAAGGGCAAACTGTACAGTTGACTTACCGTCTCTGTCTGCCAGAACGTGTCTACAATTGCACATTTTCCGTTGCCCACAACCTTGTGATACCACAGCCAGGCCTCAGGGTTGATGGGTTCGCCTACAGTGCCCAAGATCTTCAGGGACTTCCGGGAGTATCTACAAAATAATACAGAACGATACAGACCGAACACATCTGAGCGCCCTAGAACTGCACAGCATCACATTCCTGGACACTATCATACACTTTTCGAGCATAAGCACTGCACTATTTCTTGTGTGTTCTAGTAAATTGCGTAAAAACATGCGACATGTTTCGGTATTATTTGTATTGTTTAACCTACAATCTACACAGAAATATATTCATACATGATTTATCCCTTCAAAATTGATTGACAAAACTACAGAAATGAAGCAGCGATATTTTATCCTTCATTGTTATCTCCCTTGTATTCATCAACGACAAAATGGTAGAAACTGACAATGCTGAGAAATGTTTACTTAAACATGTCAAAAATCAGATTTGCATGTATTATGAGATCAGTCAATGTCAAACAGTGGGTATTAGGCTCTCTTACTAGCACAACTCAAAACACAGGGAGCAAACACAAGGATGAGAGTGTAGTTACTTTGTGACAAAGCTGTCCCCGAACTTCATGAGCGACCTGATGGCTGTGGGGGCGGTGTAGAACTTGGTCACCTTGTACTTGTCTACCACTTCCCACAGTCGTCCAGCATCAGGGTACATTGGCGTGCCCTCAAACTGTGACAGACATACAAACATTTCAACACAGGGATCAGCGTGCATGATAGACTTCTATGTACTAAGGTAAGGACAAAACCTTCATCATCTTTGCGAAATAACACCATTAGTCCCATGGCGATACAACATCTCTATTTCAAAATGCTATGTCATTTTTAATACACATATTGACTAATCAATTATTACAACTGAACTTTATCAATGCTGACATAACCATGTGTTTAAAGCATCCATCTGTCACACCAAAGACACTGGTTTGATTTCCAACATGGGCACAATGCGTGAGTGAGTGAGTTTAGTTTAGTTTATGCCGCACTCAGCAATATTCCAGCTATATTGTGGCGGTCTGTAAATAATCAAGTCTGGACCACACAATCCAGAGATCAACAGCATGAGCGTCAATCTACGCAATTGGGATACGATGACATGTGTCAACCAAGTCAGCGAGCCTGACCACCCGATCCCGTTAGCCGCCTCTTACGACAAGCATGGGTTACTGAAGACCAATGCTAACCCGGATCTTCACGGGTACACAATGCATGAAGCTGCTGTGATACTGCTATAAGTGTCATAAAACCCTACTCACCCACACACTCACTCACTATTAACGTCAATGGTACAGACACAATGAACACTACAGCAGTGATATATCTCAGGTAATTTTAAAGTGCATGGGAGCAACAAACTCATGAACAAAACTTTATATTTTTTTAAATCCATTGTTTGAAAATCAGAGTCAGTGAGTGAGTGAGTTTAGTTTTACGCCGCACACAGCAATATCAGGGGTGGAAATAACCCATTGCCCGACGTCCGAGTCCAGTGTTTTTTTCTGTCGGGCAAGCAAATTTGAATATCACGCTGTACCGGTGTCCAGTTGACTTTCAAATGTTAATAATGTTGTTTATTTAAAAAATCAACAAGAACACGGACGGTATAGTGGAAAACTTATCAGGGCAAGTGATTTGACATGTGCCACTGTACCCGAGTAGACTAGCAATTTTAAAGTTATTTCCACTCCTGTAATATTCCCGGCTATATGGCGGCGGTCTTTGAAAATCAGAGCTAATCTAACCCCACATTCAATGCACAAATGTTACACTAATTGACTACAACACACGGGACTCAATCTACATCCTCACACACTCACTATGATGCTGGTGGCTCCATTTCCTAGCGGACCATAGCAGACATACGAGTGTCCAGTGATCCAGCCAACGTCCGCCGTACACCAGTACACATCGTCAGGTTGGTAGTCAAACACGTACTTGAACGTCGTCGCCGTGAACAACATGTAGCCTCCAACAGTGTGGAGGACACCTTTAGGTTTCCCTGTTGAACCACTGAAACACACAGATGATTCACATGATTCACAAATTGTACAGCAGGTGAGTTTTGTGTCCTGGAGCATGGTGTCGTCTTCACTGTCTTCTTGTTCTCATTGTGCACTCTCACATGCATGCAATTTCTAGGGTTGCAACGATTCAGTTCGATTCATCAAAAATCAAATCTGTCACCTTACTTTCGATTTTTGATAACCATTATCACTATTTCGATTCGATATTGGAATACCTATTTATATTATTTTCACACAGCCAGAACGTAATTTTGACTCCCAAGTTTCAGTCTTGAGTGCTGAAATAAGGCGAAACGTGATTGGTTGATGCCAGGCTAATTATTCAACGAGAATTGTTGTTAGTAGACATCGCCAAGTTGACGATGGATTTCCCACTAAAAAAGCCGACTCTGAGAGTTAAATGAAGTCTGATGTTTTTACTTGTATGAAGAATCAAATCGAAAATGATCAAATCCAGTGTCCAATATTGAAAATCGAATCGAGGTCTTGGTGAATCGTTGCAGCCCTACTAATTTCAGTGGGAGATATATTGTTTATGATAAATGTATGATGAGGTACAGACACTATCTGGGAAAAGATGAGTTGACCTGTTGCAAACAAATGGACCTCAGACGTTAACAAGCATGAACTTGTCTTTTGTTATTTTGCTGCCATTTCATAAACAATAAGCGTGTTGAATTAGAATGAAGTAATACCACTAAATATTCTTTCAGATTTGCACCATTGTGGCATGAGCAGAGCCAACAGCAGCTGTATCTATGTGCTGGTCTTCTGGACCTCTGACAAACTAATTCCCTTGGGTCATGGACCTCTGACAAACATGCAGTTTCTAATCAAACTTGCCGAAAACAATTTACATTCAATTTTTTAAAGCACTTTTTCTCATGTGAAAACCATGGCTATTCTGTGTACATGCTGTATCACAAGTTCAGTGCTGTGTACATATACAATGGTTGCTAGTCACTGATGATCATGGGACGTATGCACGGACAAGATTAAAGTTCAGTGAATTCATAATCCATGGACACTTTAGTCAGCAGCTCCAGCGATCACAGTCAGCAAAAGACTAAAGAATTAAAGTTGGCTCATTCTGTTGAAAACAAAAAGATGAATCCCACATGACAGATTTTGAAAAAAGGGAGATAATCACCTGGTATACAGCATGAAAAGTGGGTCCTCTGCATCCATCCATTCCGGCTCCGAGATGTCACTACTGTCCTTCATCACATCATGCCACCATACATCACGGTCACTGTGCCAGTTGATCTGCAAGATGTACACCACATGTTTACAAATTGGGCAATGCTATATCAGTAGAACTGCATCATGAGCAATCATCTAGTCACCAGAGGTGCCAACCCTGTTTGAACATGTTGAGTGAGTGAGTGAGTTTAGTTTTACGCCGCACTCAGCAATATTCCAGTTATATGGCGGCAATCTGTAAATAATCGAGTCTGGACCAGACAATCCAGTGATCAACAGCATGAGCATCGATCTGCACAATTGGGAACCGATGACATGTGTCAACCAAGTCAGTGAGTCGACCACCCGATCCTGTTAGTCGCCTCTTACGACAAGCATGGGTTGCTGAAGATCAATTCTAACCCAGAGCTTCACGGGTCATTTGAACATGCTGAAGCTCTGGAATAATTAGTAGGGTAAAATATGGTACCTTTATGCAGTGTATGAAATAAGGCCTGTCCGACTGCCCAAGACGGGTTAGATTTCTGACGGACGGTCTAAATTTACAGCTAGCCATCCGGTGGTCTGGTAAAGTTTTTTAGATAACATGTTCCATACACCTGAGTAATTTTCTTTGGATTGTCTGGTCTGGTTAAATCCATTTTGGGCAGGTAACATTTTGAAATTACCAGCCCTGATGTGTGGCTGGGTTTTTGGCTTATTTCATCCACTGCTTTATGTGAAAAATACTAATCGTTCTAGAATTCTTATTTATTACGATACTTAAACCTACTCTGGCAAGACATCACTGCTCTAGTAATTTCAATGTACACATCAGTTCCTAACAAGCCATCCATGTCTAACATATTTAAACATACATAAATAATGCAATGGGCACTGTAGGTTTGGGTCTTTCAGTTTAACTCTGCACTTTGCAAAATCCCTGCCATGTGGTGGCGGTTTGTACAAATCTAATTTGAATTTCTTGAACAAATTCAGCTTTGTCATGGTGGGAACAGTCCTGTGCAGTTTCAGTTTCATTTGCTCAGTAACTTGTGGGGAGTTTATGTTTGCATTGCAAGGAAATGTATTTTTAGAAAAATATCACATCTAACAAATGCGATCAGCTAACATACCAAATTTCAATTCATCATTAAAGAGCCAAGTAATGGTCATAAGAAATGTCAGCTTTCAGTACATACTGCAAGCATACTACATTTCAATACAAAAACAGATGAGTAATGGTGATGAATGAGTTTTTCAAAATGGTTGTTGTGACTTAGGACAAGCATGCCGCAGAGGAAAGAATCTTGAGAACTTTCGGCTTCAACGGTGCAGGGTTCCTCAGGAGTTTACGACATATGACATAGCTCAATGCTGGACATACAGGCAATGACATGAGTTTCAGTCAGGTGAACTACAAATCTAGTTCTGGCCTTAAAGATGTCCCCCAAACCCTCTAACCTTGAGCTTCCTGTAGGGCCTCTTGGCCGGAGGTTCATCATGGCCGTCCCCATCTCCATCAATCACCTCCTCATCAGACGGTGACAGATGCCGCACTACGATACACTTGGACACCTTGTGGCTTCTGGAATGAATATCATTTAATATGGAGATTTAAATACAGAATCCAAACCAATAGAGTCCATGTGACAAGAAACTAACTGCAATTCATTGTAGCCAAGCAATTCTTCTTGTGAATGTTTCCATAAACCAACAAATACACTCATGGAAACGAATAAGGGAACACATGAAAGTACAAGTGTTCCTTTATTCTTTTCCAGGGCCCCTATTCTCGAAAGGATCCTAGCCCTAGGATATCGTAACTTTCCTCCTAGGGTCTGGGATAGGTGTCCTACCTTATTCTCGAAAAATATCCTAGCGCTAGAATATCCTAACTTAGGACAAATACTAGGATAGGTTCTGACTTGTCCTAAGTCTATCTTAGTGGAAGTCAACATGGTATGGTTCTAGTTTGTTCACCAATTTTGACGTCAAACAAAATAACTCGCCTAAATTACATTTGAATTTACAACAGCACACAGTTTTGATGAGTTAAGAAGAGTTTTTTGTGTATACATTATCAATGTATCGGTAATGAATATACACACTTGTTGCAATGCACATATTCTTTAGATCTACAAAAGAGATTTGTTCAGTTCTTACCTATTCTCAGCCTTTTTAATCACAACTTTACTGTCACATTGCCGTGAAATTTCAATGTCCAGGCCAACTTGATAGGGGAAGTAACTCCTGTTTATTTCCTAAGTGATATTTAGGGGAATCCCCAACTTAATTAATGTTTTTCTATCTCACCTTCTGAAGAGCTCACTATCCTAGCTAGGATCGGTAGCTCAAGTTAGGACAGAGACAGGATCGTGTCGAGAATGGGTCTTATCCTAACAGTAGGATGTCCTAACTCCTGTCCTAACTAGTTATGATCTGTCTTAGCTGGGACACTTTCGAGAATAGGCACCCTGGTTTCTTCACAAGGTATGTATTGTACTGTGGGTGAAAATTTGGAAATAAAGGAACACTTGAGTATATGTCAGGCCTGCTGTTTCCCCATTGGTTGACACAGATAGGGGATTTCTTGTGTTGCATTATTTGACTGAATGATGTCATTGACTACTTGTACTGATGTATTGCAGCTATTTTTGTATTAATAATTAAATAAGCAGGATGTGAGTTTATTATTCTGATGCATATTGACATATTCATTTAAACACATTTACTTCATGTATTTGACATTACGGAGTTAAAATCTGATGTGAAAAGTTTACATACATCTGCCGCACATTCTTACACAGTGTGCACACTGTCATCTACAGACTGCATGATAGCAAAAAAGTTAACCTTCAATGATTATCGGGCACATAGTTTCATGAATAACTTGGAGTGACTTGGAGTTTGTATAGTTTAACGCTGCTTTTAGCAATATTCCATTAATATCACAGCAGGGAACACTAGAAATGGGCTTCACACATTGTACCTACGTCTTCCGGGGTCTTCGGCATGATGAGCAAATGCTTTAATGACTAGGAGGACATTTCAGTAAAAATTATGTACACTCATACAATGGATCCTGATGAAATAATATCAAAAGAACCCTCTTAATTTTGAACATTCACAACTTCTAATTTTAAACACACTCCAACAACTGGTTATGGAGGGATGATTTATCTCCATAAAACATACAGCACCACCCACAATCCCCAGCCTTGTTTCCTCTGGGCTGACTTATAGTGACAGTACTTACCTCTCTCCACTCAACCTAATGGCTTCATCCACAATTTGTTTGAGATTCAGAAGTTTGGTGCCACGCCACACACCATCTAGAGTAGAAAACAATGAGTTGTAGGACTTTGCTGTGCTCACATTCATCACAATTACATTAAACAACATAGACTCGTTAAGTAAACATATCATCCATAACGAACAGAAAGACAAAGCCATTAAAACAGTAAGTGACACTGCACTTCGTCATTCTGATAAATCCAGCAGTAATGAAATAATTATGTTTCAGTTTAACCCAGTGGCAATTAACACCACCGCTAATGGTGAGTGAGTTTAGTTTTACACCGCTTTTAGCAATATTCCAGCAATTTCAAGGCGTAGGACACCAGAAATGGGCTTCACACATTGTACCCATGTGGAGAATAGAACCCGGGTCTTCGGCATGACGAGTGAACACTTTAACCATTAGGCTGCTCCACTGCTCCTCATTAATGGCGATTGAGGAATCTTATTGCCGTTTATTGAAAGATGCTGTTGTTTTTTCTGGCAACTTGATGGTTACAATTCCACGTAATTACAACACTAACTGACAGCTGAAGACTGCATCACGTTCAGTGTTGTGATGAATAATATGTAATCTTTAATTAATTTAAATTCAAACTGGCATACAAAGACACAGATTCCAACTATAATGAACTGATATGTATAACCCAGTTACTTTCAGCATTGCATAACTTACAGTCAAGTAGACCTCTGCATTCAAAATAAAAGTTAATGACTAATAATCACACTAACTATTGTATCCATGATAATTTCAAACAGCTACTGATTATAATCATGACAATCAAGACCACAAAGCAATGCCTCATACACAATAAATACACCAATACCAGCCCTGCACCTTCAGCCATACTACGCCTTCCTCTAATAAAGCATGTCAAGGCAGCATTTGTCACCCTCCCTCCAATCAGCATCTACCCAGGTGGTGTTTATGACAATATTTATTACGTAAAACATATGCCGTGATAAAGTGCTTTGCTAACCATGCAAATCATTTTGTGACATACCACTCAAAAGATGTTACGTACATTGATTTTTTTTCAAATGACTATAGCTGATTTATGGCCCATTCATAACTACTCGCCTCTTTCCGTGACCTACAAGAAGACCGTACCTGTATAGTACACCATTATTGAATTGTGGCAAACAATCAAATCGCTCAAAGTCAAAGTAAAATGTGAAATGAGGTCAAATAGTTTCTTTGTGATTATCAATTTTCATTATTATTTCCATGAATATTCTTGTTACTGATATTCGTTTATGACAAAGAAATTTACTTCAAGTGACTTTCGTGTTAAACAAATTTGTTCTTCTTGTTTTCTAGGAGTAGCCATGTTTGGGAATTTAGAGTTATCTTTCCTTGGAAAAAGTCCTAGACTATTTTCATCTCCATGCCCATTTGCTCTTAGACAAGGCCCTGTCGTAAATATGGCCATGCAAAGGGTGTGAGTCGCCATCTGGCTTGCCAGAATGACACAAGTAGTTACGAATGATTTGCGGCCATAATAGATTATTAACTACAGTCATTGTTGTTATATGGAAAAATTGTGACTTCTTTAACTTCTATTGAGTAGCATATTTTCAGAATAATGTTACCTGTGTTTCATGAAATGCCAGGAACATATTTAAAACAAAACGATAAACATATACATAAAAGGAATACTAGTATGTCATTATTACCATAGCATAGAGAAAATGGTCAATGTGTTCCATTTTGAGGTACATATAATGTACAATTCATTATTCACACAATGACTGTCATGACAATGAGGAATTTAATGAGGAATGGCCACACAATATACACAACAGAAAATATTATACACCATATTCTATTATTATGAGGATGTAGATATATTTCAATTTATTTACAACAGGGATGTTTTTTAACACAAGTTATTGGCATCGTAAGCATCAACCTATGCAGTTTAGCCATGATCGATTGCAATGAAAGGTTCATTTATTCAATTTTCAATGCTTTTGTTTATTTGAGTTCAAATCTTTTGTTGATTTCAGAGGTATTTTAACTTTCCATACAACACAATAATGTAAAAGTAAGCTTCATCAACTTCATTAGTCCTGTTATCAGTGATGTACAGGTCATTTTGACCACCTGTAACTCAAAGTACATGAAATGGGAATTTGTATATTCTCAGTTAGGAAGTTTTTCTGACACTTCATGCAGAATTGGTCTCGATATTGGCCACTTAGTTTGTCAAAATATATCAATGAATTTTATCACATTTTCAAAAGCTTAAAAAGACTTAGTTTGTCATGTGCAGAGCAATACTTTTAAAATATTTGTGTATTCAGTTATTGTACAATATGGCCCAGGGCCTAGATATTCGAAGCTCTCTTAGAGCTAAGATAGTCGTAAGTGCCATCCATTAACATTAACTTATGAATATCTTAGCGCTAAGAGAGCCTCGAAAATCTAGGCCCAGGTAACTGGCGTGACATACAATGCTAGCATCCAGCACTAATATCCTGAAATGATCATGATATTGATTACGTCACTGAAAGTGTACCCACAAAGTACACTTGAAATGTGTCCAATTTCTTTTAGGGCATATTTTTAATAGATCAAGGTCACCAAAGGGGAATAACTCCCAATGCAACTAGAAGACAGACCTGCAGTCATAACTGCTAAACATTTGGCATCTATGATTCTGTCTGCTAACGACTCCGAGGAATATCCAGCGAACTACAACAAATTAATAACACACTGATGAATCAATAAAATTAACATCAAGACTTCACACACCATATACAAATTAACAGACGATCTATGCAATACAAAATGTTAACAAATTCATAATTAATTTTCTACAAATATTCTGAACTATCAGTCAGTGTTAAAAAAACAATCATTAGAGTAATTTAATCCAAAAATATATCATGCTTTCAATCATTATTATTTCTGTAATAATGTGTTACAATAGTTGCAGAAATTCTTCACTAATGATTATCATATCCCGGTTGGATAAAGTCATGTGACTATAACCTTCTAGCGCCTAACAGGCAGCTTGGGTTATCCGGGGTAATAAGAATCAGATTCTGATTAAGCGCCGCGAGCAATCACTTGGTGTTTGGAAACGTGCGCTATAGAAGATGACTTATTATTATTATTATGAGAAAGATTTACAAGAAACACTGTTCTTACACTGACATAAATAGATATTTACATTAATATACCTTCTACTCAAACACAAACAATACAGACCGAGTGTAAAGTTAATCAGGATGAAGAACAGTCAGACTAATCTAAGAATTATCTACCACGTCACATGCAACATGCAAAACAAAATGGTTAGGGAATAATGTGAGGTTAGGGAATAATGTGCGGTTAGGAAATCATGTGAGGTTAGGAAATCATGTGACGTTAGGGAGTTGTGTGAAGCTAGGGAATTGTGTGAGAGAAAAACCATCCCAAGGAAGAAGTAGTCATCACAAAAAGTGGTGTTATTTAGGTAGCAACGATAAGAGACCATGGGTCCTTGAGAAAGATGGACATTCTGTCATAATATTGTGCTCCTTAGACGGAAATCAGACATGACTACACAACATCATTTAGAAGGTGGTCAGATGTTATATTTGGGTTACAGTTTCTCGGTAAAGTATGGATTCTAGCACTTTAGTTAGGTTGGATCCCATCCTGGATCTAAACCCACACTCTCAAATCTAGGCACCTAATCGCCAGCACACAAAGTCAGCCATCTAACCCACTCTGCCACCATGAGTGATGTAAACGTATCCTATCTAAGATGGCGATCTGTGAGAAAAGAGACACAACACAGCCATTCATGGGCAAAATGTTTTATTAATTTCTACATTCTAAGGTTTTCTATTTTAGCATTAACATGAAATTAAGCATTTCAAAACTTCTACTTTTCTGGTCCTGCTAACATTTTGAAAAATTAATTACAACTTTATCAATAACTTCTGATTTAATATATTAAGCGCCATTTTCATCCAGATTCTTAGAGTTATCAAGATGAAGGAGAGGTGAGGTGAAATTGGGTTTTACGTCGTGCTTGAGAATATTTCGCTCATATGACGACGTGCATGCATGTGTATGTGCATGTGCGGCTGCTTGTACTAGCCCAGACTTAAGCTGGTTTTATAGTGCTAGCCCACTGAGATACCATGCCACAGTGAAGCATGAATACCCCACTCAGACACATTATACTGACTCGTGGCCGACCAGTCCTTGATGTACCCATTAATGCCGCGCGCCAGGCAGGGACCAACAAGTACCATATTTTAACGTCTTTTGGTATGACGCGGTCGGGGATCTCCGGGCGGACGCTCTAACCACTACACCACAGAGGCGGTCGGTATAACACTGGAATCATATACCATGAGATTTGGCAGTTGGTATTGGATACAGGTGTGATTTTCATGAACACATATGCCGAGCACCGAGCGCCAGGCAGGGACCAACAAGAACCATATTTTAACGCCTTTTGGTATGACGCGGTCGGGGATTGAACACGCGACATTCCGCTCTTCGGGCGGACGCTCTAACCACTACACCACGGAGGCGGTCTTATCAAGATGAAGGGACGACAACCAAATACTGTAAGTATGTATGCATCTTGTTACAAACAGCAGATGAATGTTAAAAAACAGGCAATGGATACCAGTACCAAGTAGCACACAGACACAACTGACATTTGCTCCAGATGTGAGGTCAAACAAACCACTGAGATGGTCTAGATGAAACATCCCAACCGATCCAAGCTCACAACACTAATCAATGGACACATCAATAGCTGTTTCGTTGACAGACAGCAGCATACTGACAATATATTATTCATAGGTTGCAGTATAAAATCCATACGAGTTGTTGAACACAGTGTTTGCCCGTAACCCTGGAAAGCTGTAGGCCCTAAGGGCCCAGAACCATAAAAGGTTGTGTGTCCTGATCAGAATGTGTAGGCCCTATATTTTAAAATAATACTCTTAGTTATTGGGAATGAAAAGCTGTCGGTCATAAGGAACTGCAGAAAACAAAAGATGTGGGTCCGTGTGGTCTTTGGCGGTTTCGGGCCAAAGGACAGACGTTAATTTCCAACGCTGGTTGGACACTGAAATGACTACACAGCGCTCTATGTAGTCCTGCCCTATTAAAATCAAAGGTCTGATCGAATGCTGAAACTCATGAGATACGAAACACAGCATGTCCAATGAAAAGGTTAATTAGAATTTGGTCAATTATCATTTCTCGAAAAATGGAATAATTTCTGCGAGGCATCAAAACACTTCCAGTATGGCTGCCAGTTCTGTTAACTGAGAACTGACAGCTGTGTATTCCTCTGTTTTAACAACAACTTCAACTGGTCAGTGATACATATCTACACATTGTTCTGAGAAAGTCTAAGATAGAGTTAAAGGCACTATATCACACCACACTTCTCTAACAATAAATAATGCATTTCTCTCAATAACTATCAGCCCTCGGGGAAGCTACCATATAATTTATCCCCCTAAAATTATGTATTTAGATTACAATATTAAAATAAAAAGTTCAAAAGAATTAATTTTTGATTAATTTTTCAATGTACAGAGCAATTCTTTACATTCCATATATGGCAAGTGTTCTCTGTTTGGAAGCTGTTTGGCTCGAAGTTTCAATTATCTATTTCAGGCAAGTCATAAGGGATAGTAAGTCTTTTATTGCATCAATAGGAAGGTAAAATGAGTGCATATGCCCCAACATATTGTATAAAATGTGTGACGTGCCTTTAACTTCCTCTGCTGGTATTTATAAGTCATATTAATTACCTGTGAAATACAGGTTACCTTCACAAAGTCACAAAATATATTATCAGCTATATGCATTAATATGAACTAGGAAATGCTAAAGTCCAAAGAAAGACATCTGCTGCAGGCTTCGGGCAGAATAATAGCAGATGAACAGATCTAGATAAATCCCCATACTATGGCTGCATGTTATACCGGTAACTGTCATATCACCAACATCAGTCGGCAGCTTGGAGCGTCAGTGTGTTATTTCTTAGCCAATAATATTCTGGTTTGTTCGCTTGTTTCTTGTCTACATATGCACTCAACATGATCAACACTATTCCAATATTATCATATATTCCTGGCTGTAAATAATCTAATCTGGAGAAGACAATCCAGTGGTTGACATATTGAGCACCATCAATCAACCAATCACCAAGCCTGACCACCCAAGCTGTGTGTAACCAAGGGGATTAACTGTTTCTGTACATTCTAGCAGTCCATAACCTGGGGACCACTAATTGCAACCATGCAGGGAACAAAGCCTCAACAGTTTACAGCAAGCTGACAATGGCATGACCTCTGAGCCACTTTCTACCCATTGCTGGTCCAGGGGGATTACTTACAAATCCTGCTGTCATGTTGACCACACATAAATAATAAACTGATTGTCATGATTATAAACTCTCAGTCACATATAAAGCAATGGATAACTATTTTCCAGAAAAGAGCATCCGTGATGCCATGGTTTATTTGTCCCTGAGTCAAACCTGCAAGGATGATAATGTTAGCGTTGGAGCTGTGGAGGCGCTGAGTGACGGCAAGGTCAGAGTACCCTGCAAACTAAGCAAGACGAGAGTGTGCTGGTTAGTAGACAGAGAACAGTGGAAAAAAGAAAGAGCAGATTAGAGCATGATACAACATAGCACTAAAGATGAAAACACCGAAAGTTACACGACTCAGCTTTTAATGAGAATATACACATGTATTTCAATCTCTCCTGATATTTTTGTTTTCTTTGTTTAATGTCGCCTTCAAAAGTATTCCATCTGCATTATGACCTGTAAATAATTGAGGTTGGACCAGACAATCCAGTGATTGATGTAATGAGTATTGATCAATGCTAAGAGAATGACATGCTATCTACAACATGACTCAGCCTAACCAACCAATCCTTTAAACTGCCTCATAAAGCTGGCATAGGTCGCAAGATAAGAATTCTAAACCAGAGTCGCCAAAACATTTTCGTGTAATGACAAAAACATTGTATGACATCCTCTCCAAGCAATCATTCTTACCTATAAGAGATCTTTCAAAAGGTAAACAGCAGATATTTCAAGTACGCTATTATACCTATGTTAATGAAAACAATTTACAATGAAATACACAAATACTTCACCATGGTTTGGTTCACTGGTTGTTTGCATTAAAGATATGAGTCTTGAACACGGAAACGCTGTATTGTTATTTGAACAAATATTAAACATGATTTTCAAGCGGAATTTTAATTGCAAATCTGTGACTTACTCTGACACAAAGCAATGACATATCTTGTTTGTTTATTTTTAACACCACACTCTGCGATATTCCAGCTATATAGTGGCGGTCTGTAAATAATCGAGTCTGGACTTGACAATCCAGTGGTCGATAGCATGAACATTGATCTATGCAGTTGTGATACAATGACATGTGTCAACCAAGTCAGCGAGCCTGATCACCCAATCCCATTAGTTGCCTCTTACGACAAGCATGGGTTACCGAAAATCAATTCTAACCCAAATCTTCATGCGTGCATGGAGACATCTATAACTACAATGCTGAATATAGTTTCTGTCTGTTCCTTAAATTACTATTAATACAACAATATAATTTGGGGATCCTTTTTTTACAAATAATATGAAGTGTCAGTTCAGCAAATTTACCACAAAAGTGGTCTATCTATCATGCTTATATCTAACAGCAATCAGTCCTTTTAATCAACATGATCAAATGAAAGAGTGAGTGAGTACGGTTTAACGCCGCTTTTAGCAATGTTCCAGCAATATCACGGCGGGGACACCAGAAATGGGCTGCACACATTGTACTTATGTGAGGAATCGAACCCATGTCTTCGGCGTGACGAGCCAAAGCTTTAACCACTAGGCTACCCCACTGCCCCGATCAAATGAAAGAGTACGCTGAAGCGTAATATACAACAAATAATTGTATTTTCCGTATTCAGAGTTCAATCGTTGGCCAGTTCAGCTGACTGACATATATTATTGCCCTGATTACAACAGCTGGCAAATCAACACAATCAATAACTAACAACTGGGACTGAGCATAGGCTGATACATATACATATGACATAGCTTTCATAGGGATGATATTATTGATGCTTGCTCTGTAACTACATTGAAAATACAAAAAAATCAACTTAATTGCGCCAGACAGCCAACTTATAGATAAATGTACTTTTTCCTTGACATATAAATCATGACAACTCAAAATTAAGAAAAAAGGCATCATGGCTAAACTGCAATGGCAACGTTAAAAGAAGTCCTGAAGGGCACACATTCACCAAGTTCAAAGATCCACATTGACCAAAAGTATTTCTCTAACTGGCACATCTATACATCCCTTTGAGTGTCTTGTGGAACCTTTGAAAATACCAAAACTGAATCCAAGTCCACGTTCGTTAACTGATTTAACACAGAAACGTGAACTGATATTATGTTCCAGTGAGTGAGTATGGTTTTGCGGCGCTTTTAGAAATATTCCAGCAACATCACCGCAGGGGACACCAGAAATGGGCTTCACACATTGTACCCATGTGGGGAATCGAACTCGGGTCTTTGGGGTGACGAACAAACGCTTTAACCACTAGGCTACTCCGCCGCCACGATATTGTGTACCAAACCATGAGTGAAGTCATGTGCACTACATTTGCTTTCAAATCTCATTCTATAAAAAAAAAATCAAAACTACATTTAGCAGTATAATAAACAAAAAAATTTATGAATGCCTTATAAACATCAAACCCATGGGTAAAATACCCAAATAAGTAAAAGCTGATCTGGAGCTCTGAACTGATGAACTAATCTCTATGTAAACTATTTTTAAAACTAAGACAATTTTCATACATATTTTATAATGAAGGATTAATCTTTAAGGCAACAAAAACTTTATAATACTGCCCCGAGAAAATGTGTTCCTGGTGACAAGTTCTTGACAGAATACATCTGAGTATAATGACTTTGTTTCCATCTAACTTACTTCCTGAATGATTTCATATAACTGATCATATTTTAGATGAATTGTGCCAGCAGGATCATTTTAATTAAATTACACCTTTTACCCAAAAATGACAAATTGCAATGAAATACACAGATACAGATAGTGGTGTCCTGATATGATTATTTCCAAATGGATACATGTGATGTTGGCATTACAATTGTATGATTATCATGTATAACTTCATTAGGCATTAATTTTCCTCTGTACCAATGTATCAGTTAATCATGATTATCCTAGTTGTTATGGTAACCAGAAACACAGTTATTGTTTTATTTACATTACAACGTGCAACAAAAAACATAACAAAGCATTAAAACTGAAGCAAAGTAAGCATGGCGAGAATGAAGAGACGTGAAACGAATACGGCTAGTGCTCAAGCTACAACTAAACCAACAAAGCTCTGTAAGGTACAAACAGAAGCAATGCCAGTTAATGGAACCAAAAGGTACCAAACAATGTTAAGTGGAGGAGTGTACTACAAGCATCATGAGGTCATACCACAATGGAATGAATGGCTCCTATCCTGGCACAGGCCAACATGGCTATCGTCAGCTCCACGATCATCGGCATGTAGATTGCCACACGATCCCCTTTCTTTATTCCTGGAAAATAATAATAGAATAATAACATTACAATATTTATAATAACATTGCATCATGTCAAAATGTATTGAAATGAATGGTGCTTTTACCAACACAGTTTCATGTTCCGACATGCTTATAGGTTGTACCATGATGCCACTCGAACCAAAACATAATGCTGGTACACTGAATTACTGGTGTTTATCAAGGATGGCCGCAGTAACCAAAGGCCCTCGTGTCTTTGCGCGGATTAATATTTTTTTTTAAATACATAAAAATTTGAGATGACCCCCGACTCTAAATGCTTCACAGTACAATACATTATGACAAGGCCGGACACCTCGATGCACCCCACCCGACAGTTTGCCGATCACTACGCTACAATCGCATGCAATCGATCAGAACTTAATGTAAACATAATCATGGATGATTGGCCTATCGAGCACCACTCGTTTCACCTACCAATTCTTTATTGTTATTTCTGCAAGTTGGTTGAAACCCGATTGTGACTCTCAACTAAATTATCTTGGCACAAATGGATGAGGATGTGTCCGCACAAAAGAAGGGGGGGGAGAGAGTTGTAGGTGTTTATATCGAGCCCTGAGTACCTTAGAGAAACTTTGAAAAGTCAACCCTTGAGCATGCTGGTCAATCCGATTACTTTATACACTACCCGTTTTGTGCTGTCCATTTCCTTGTTTTGTTTAATTGTAAGTACAATACCAAGTACAATACCATAACCTCAAAACGCGTGCTACTTAGAATAGTCAGACAGAACTTAAATAACAACCGTTGTCTCTCAAATCAGTTGTGGCTGTTATACTCACCCTGAGCCTTGAGAACGTTGGCAAACTTGCATACTTTCTGCAGCAATTCCTTGTAGGTTATTTTACCATGGTCGTTGGGGTCATTCCCTTCCCTGGAAAAGACAAGGCATTTGGAATAACAGGATTATATGTTGTGCTGTGCTGTGCTGTGCTGTGCTGTGAGGTGAGGTGAGGTGAGGTGCAGTTAAATGTCGCAAATTCATGATTATACCACATATATTCTGACTGACTGAATATGGTTTTACACCACTTTTAGCAATATTCCAGCAATATCCCGGCGGGGGACACCAGAAATGGGCTTCACACATTGTACCCATGTGAAGAATCGAACCCGGGTCTTCAGCGTGAAGAGCAAACGCTTTAACCAGTAGGCTACCCCACCGCCCTATATTACCACATATATGTCGACATTAACAAGAGAATGTTAGTATTTCAGTCCTATTACTGTGTAACTTCCTTAAGTGGCATTTTTAGATGCTGGTATGATGACGAAGAACAATATTATGTGGATTGACAACTTCTTTATTGCAATGAATGCAACGTATCATCACTTGCTTGATAACAGTGTTACTATCTAAACTGAAATGTCACATCCATTGCAATATAGAAGTTGTTAATCCAGTCTGCAGGGCTGTACATGAAGGCCCAAAAGGTAACACCTTCGGGGAAAACCCATGACATGAGTTCCACCAGAAGTTACAGTATATGACCCATGAAAATCCGGGCTGCAATTGATCTTAAGTAACCCACGCTTATTGTAAGAGGCGACTAACGGCATTGGGTGGTCAGGATCGCTGACTTGGTTCACACATGTCAATGTATCCCAACTGCGTAGATCGATGCTCATGCTGTTGATCACTGGATCATCTGGTCCAGACTTGGATTATATATAGACCACCACCATATAGCTGGAATATTGCTGAATGTGGCATTAAACAACAAACCAACCAACCAAAGTATCATAGAAGTTTGATGTCATTAGAAAATGCCACCTTGAGTCCGTTTCCACCACTGTGTCTGGCATGTATAACATCAGAGTGCAAAATTTGAGCCATGCAGCTGGACTGACAGGTCTAATAAATTGCTTGTCCAAATTTAATGTACACACTTCATCACGTTTCACTGATGTGCGAAGAATAATTACTGAAACGTTCATAGCAATACTAAAGGTCATCATCTAAATGCCACACACAACATTAATCATATCCTTTATCTTATTTTATTATTTAATTAAATCTTCAAAAAAGATCAGCCAAAACTGTCTTTTAAAACCATCTTTTAAAAGTTTCTTTTCCAAGACAGTCATTGATGGTCAGAGAGGATCTAATTTGAATTTTAAGCAATCAAATCAAGATAATAAGCACTGTAAGGTAAGAGAATCCAGGTCAGTAATCATATCCCTGATATCTGCACCAACAGCAGTTTCAGTGTCGTGGACAATGTGGTGACCTGCACATGTTATCAATGGGGGCGTATGTGGAGGACTGTAGCAGGACTGTAGCAGCACAGATAACATGACATCACAGTCATGATAACAGGTGCATGCTGGTGTGTAGTATCATGAAAATGTGAATGAGAAATTGCCCTGCATGTACATGGATACTGGTTTCTTGCATCATCATCATCTTTATATGAGTGATTGAGTGTTAATACCACTTTGAACCCGGGTTCGAATCCCCACATGGGTACAATGTGTGAAGCCCATTTCTGGTGTCCCCTGTTGTGATGTTGCTGGAATATTGCTAAAAGCGGCGTAAAACCAAACTCAGTCAGTCAGTAACACCACTTCGAACAATCTTCTAGGTATATCACAGCATCTCAGCTTAATGTTTTGAGTGAGTGAGTGAGTTTAGTTTTGCGCCTCTCTTAACAATATTTAAGCAATATCACACAGGGGGACACACAATGGGCTTCACACATTGTACCTATGTGGGGAATCGAACACAGGTCTTCAGCGTGATGAACGGACACTTTAACCATTAGGTTATCCCACTGCACCCTTAATGTTTTGAGGACAGGTCAAAGTGATTCAGTTCTCATTCACCATTTGGGAAAAACAAACAAGAACAGGTAAGGTGCTAACAAACCTACAAAGAAAATAGGGGCAAGCAGCGATTTAAATAGCTCAACATTTATTTGACAGTTATATTAATGGACAGCCCCAGTTCCCTTTCAATGAAGACTAAATCATGTGCTTGCATCTGGTGTAAATCAAATCACAAGAATATCCGAGACAAAATACAATTTGTTTGCACCTGAAGAAACCTTTTTCAAGTTTAGATTGTTAGATTACAATTTCTTACAAGGATCAGTGTCGTGATATGAGAAGCCAGCAACTGTGTCTCACAAAAACTTGCAACATCATCGTTTGACCTTCATTGTCATAAATTATCTTTGCAGTAGGAAGTGCTCTGATAGCCTATCCATGTTTGCAAGCCATTGTGTCCCCCTACCAGGCCAGCACTTAATGTGTATGCTATCAGGTGTTCACAGAATCAAAATTGTCTTTTGCTTTAGCAATCAAATATATCTTACCTTTAAACAAGGTAGGAAACTGGCATTGGAATAATATTCCATCAAAAGAGAGTACTATGTTGCATGTGAATTCAAGAACAGGATTTAAACAAGTTAATGAACACCAATTGAAGAGACAATAATGGTTGGGCAGAGCTACAATAGTGTATTTACCTTTGGTTCAATTTTCGATTCAGGTGTTTTCCATTTTGGTGCAGTCCAGTATTAGCATTCTGAATGAGCCTCTTCACTGGCCAGTTCTTTATGCAGTCAAACCAATGCTGTCACCTAGTTGGTTGTAACACCATACAAAATGGAGGCAGCAGAGGTTATGCCAATGCTGCATGACCCACAATGATGGCTTCGATCTTAAGTATGAGTGCATTTTGCATTTAAAAATAGAAATAACTTTGAGGATAAAACATGCAAAATCAGTTACACAGACGCCAGCAATAAAGCCTGCAACACCTCTAACATGTAACATCACCTGAAAGACATCACAATTTGTCAACCGAAAAGACTGGCACCAATGAATCACTATCCCCTTAGTCGTCTGTCAATGAACTAAAAGAAGACAAATATGGATAATTACAATTACAGGAAGTACTCAAAACGAAACTGTCACACAACACCATGAAATATACACTGCTGTATCAAACAACTGTCGGCTACCTAGCAAGTGATATAACACCCTATGGACAGTTCAATCTGAAGGCTTCAAATACTTGGTAAGTGTTCTCGAACGAAGATATGAGTTGCGTAGTAGAATTTATGTTACAGAAACTGTATGGCCTCATATTTATAGAAATGTTGTCCGTCACGTTAAAAAACATTTGAACAGTGCTCAGTACATTGCCATAACTAAAGATTCCTGGTATTCTCTATTGAATCGAAATATTCGAAATCAAGACTTCTGTACTATCTTAGGCAATGATGACATATCTTTGCAGCTCTAGTTCTGTGTACATCAGTCTGTAAATATAACATAAACTGAGCATACTGAAAAAACAATTTGACCATATCTGGCTTTCTGACTAATTGTTACTGGGCCAATCATCCAAAACAGCAGTGTACTAAGTCTCACGTGCATGTAATTAACGTAATTCATGGTTCATATATCCAGGGAATAAACTGGGGTTCAAAGAATCAATCTGCAATATTTTTCATAAATACTCATCATCATGATAATGTGTCAAACCATTATCACATGTACTAGACCTAAGTTTCTTTTGCATTTAATTTTTTTTTCGAGAATATTATTGTTTGAAAAAACTCTAAAAGTAGAACAAAAATAAGTCTGCAAACAAGAACAAAACATGCCTTTGCATATCTCAGTGTAGCAATGTTTGCTTAAATGTGACTGAACAAGAAGGCACCTTATACAAACACAACTTGAAGGCAGGGCACAGACTTAAGTTATCTTTAATCCCTGTACCACACACAGGCATGCAGTGTCAATATTAATTACTGTTCAGTCTTAAGTAGCTTGGCCTATACGTAAATATAATAAACTCCTGCCTCACATAGCTTCCAGCTGGGTCACACTGATCAAGCAGTCTGATAACCATGATAGGGAGGGGCGGTGGTGTAGCCTAGTGGTTAAAGCGTTGGCTTGTCACACCAAAGACCCGGGTTCGATTCCCCACATGGGTACAATGTGTTAAGCCCATTTCTGGTGTCCCCCGCCGTGATATTGCTGGAATATTGCTAAAAGCGGCGTAAAACTAAAACTCAGTCAGTCAGTCAGTCAGCCATGATAGGGGAACATTAATCTGAACACAATAAATGCATCAAACAACACTATTTATTTCTCTTATATTAAATTTGCAAACTTAACAGGTATGAAATGATAAGCTAACATTGCCTTGAAAAACTTGTATAGCAAAATAGATTACTCTCATGGTTATAGAGAGAGTTTGTTGCTGAAGTAAACAAGAGTCATCAGAAGATGACATATCCCCCCGGCCCCCACATCTTTGAAAGAACAAATCATCTGACAGTTACTTAAAGTCCAGCTTGATTTTAGACTAAGTGCAAATCGTTTCCATGGAAATCATGAAAAAAATAAATGACAAAAATCTGTAAATAGCAAAAGGCACCACTTCAAGATCTGACTCACATATCTGCCAAGTTTTGCTGAAAGATATTAAGAAGTTTTCCAGTTGTGCTCCAGAAACGAAACCTACCCCGCCCTTTTGAGACTAAGTCTGAATCGTTTCCATGGAAACCGAGAAAAATAAAAATGACAAAAATCTGCAAATAGCAAAAGGCACCACATTGGGATCTGCCTCACATATCTGCCAAGTTTTGCTGAAAGATATTGAGAAGTTTTCAAGTTGTGCCCCGGAAACGAAACCCACCCCTCCTTTTGGGAGTAAGTCCGAATCGTTTCCATGGAAACTGGGAAAAATAAAAATGCCAAAAATCTGCAAATAGCAAAAGGCACCACTTAAGGTTCTGTTTGATATATCTACCAAGTTTTGTTGAAATATATTGAACGTTCTTGAGTTATACTCCGGAAACGAAGCCCACCCTCCCCTTTGGGATTAAGTCCGAATCGTTTCCATGGAAACCGGGA